CCTTGTGAAGACTTACAGAAAACGTTTGACCTGTGTCATTGCCAACAAAGGGTATATAACAAAGTATTGAGAAACTTTTGTTATTGACCAAATACTTATTTTCCACCATAATTTGCAAATAAATTCATAAAAAATCCTACAATGTGACTTTCTGGATTTTTTTTTCTCATTTTGTCTGTCATAGTTGACGTGTACCTATGATAAAAATTACAGGCCTCTCTCATCTTCTTAAGTGGGAGAACTTGCACAATTGGTGGCTGACTAAATAATTTTTCCTGCAATAAAATGCAAATGAATTACTTAAAAATCATACAATGTGATTTTCTGGATTTTTGTTTTAGATTCCGTCTCTCACAGTTGAAGTGTAACTATAATAAAAATTACATACCTCTACATGCTTTGTAAGTAGGAAAACCTGCAAAATCGGCAGTGTATCAAATACTTGTTCTCCCCACTGTAGCTCCATTCGTGTGTATTTTATTCCTTTTGTGTTACTATTTTAATACTTTTTTTAAAGTTTAATTTTTACTTTTTTACTAGTTTAATACTCTGTTTAATTGGGAAGGGCTCGTAAACAAACATTTCACGGTAAACTCAACACTCGTTGTATTCAGCTCATGTGGTGAATAACATTTGATTTGATTTGAAATTAATAGGAGTATCATAAATAAAACAATACATCATACAATACATAATACTACAATGAGTGTGTGTGTTAGAGTGTGTGTGTTAGAGTGTGTGTGCGTGTGTATCCTCACGGTCCGCATTGTGCCGTGAGGTGTTGTTTTATCTGATTTATTTTATCTGATTTTACTGCTCACTTGAGTTACATGATGTGGAAGAGAGTTCCATGTAGTCATGGCTCTATGTAGTACTATGCATTTCCCAGAGTCTCTTCTGTACTTGGGGACTATGAAGAGACCCCTAGTGGCATGTTTTGTGAGGGGTATGTATGGGTGTATGTATGGGTGTTTGAGCTGTGTTAGCTGTTTGAACAGACAGTTCGGTGCTTTCAGCACATCAATATCTCTCACAAAGACAAGTTGTGATGCAAACAATCTCTCCTCTATTTTGAGTCAGGAGAGATTGACATGCATGTTATTGATATTAGCCATCTGTGTACATTTAAGGGCCAGTCGTACTGCTCTGTTCTGGGCCAACTGTAATTTGCCTATGTCCTTCTTTGTGGTACTTGAGCATATAACTAGGGAGTAGTCCCAGTGTGATAAAACTAGGGCCTGTAGGACGTGTTTTGTTGATGTGATGTCAAGAAAGCAGAGCAGCGCTTTATCACGGTCAGACCTCTCCCCATCTAGCTACCATTGCATCAATATGTTTTGACCATTGACGTTTTCAATCTATGGGTACACCAAGCAGTTTAGTCTTCTCAACTTGCTCAATTGCCACATTATTCATTCCAAGATTTAGATGAGGTTTAGGGTTTTACATGAGGTTTAACTCTACCTGGTTTACATAAGAAAGGCATCCATTAAAGAACACCCTGTGTTCTATTAGATAGGTAACTCTCGATCCACAATATGGCAGATAATGTAAAGCCATAACACATATGTTTTTCTCAGCAGCAGACTGATTGATAATGTTTAAAGCTGCACTGAATTTTAACAGAACAGCTTCCACAATCTTCTTCTTATACATTTATTTCAGCCAATCATCAGTAATTTGTGTCAGAGCCATACATGCCCTTCCCTATAAGCTTGCTGAAAGTCAGTTGTTCATTTGTTTACTGTGAAATAGCATTGTATCTGGTCAAAGACAATTTAATCAAAAAGTTTACTAAGGGTCTGTAGCAGGCTGATTGAACCAGTAAAGGGTGCTTTACTATCCTTGGGTAGCAGAATTACTTTTGCTTCCCTACAGGCCTGAGGGTACACTCTTTCCTGCAGGCTTAGATTGAAGAGATGGCAAATAGGAGTGACAATATAGTCCTCTACCATCCTCAGTAATTTTACATGCAAGTTGTCAGTAGCAGGTGGTTTGACATTATTGTGGTTTGTCATTTTTGTTCACCTATTCCACACTCACTTCACAGAGTTCAAATTACAATGCTTATCTTTCATAATTTGGTCAGTTATACATGGATATGAAAGGAGTATCTCAGTTTCAATGTCCCACCTTTGAGAGAAGAAGCCTTGTGAGGTATCAGTCAGTCACATGCAGGAACCAACGTTAATAATGAATCATGTAAATCATGCTTATGTGACTTGTTTGTGTAGCAGTATATAAGGACTGAACGGGAACGTCCTTGTCAGAGTTTTCATCAAGCTTGGATTGAGTTTGTGAACCTCTCCGGCCATGATAATAAAGAGTGGTTCATTTAATATTGACCTCAGGTGTCCCTGGTGTTGATTTTCCACCACACCATGCAAAGGAAAACAGATATCTCTAGTTTAAACACAGATTTTTATGGGGATTTTTGTATTATGCTAATTCGATTTCTGTGGGGCGTGGACATCGACTCTAACTTTTTTTTTAAAGGTGTAGGCTGCTACAAGATGTGTGCCACACCCAACCGGCGTGACCTGTGATTTCCGTGAATCTGATTGGTCAAAGAGGTGACTAGGCAAGTTGAGCTAGGCAAGTTGAGCCTGCTCTGTGGTTGTCCCATTAGGCAGAGGATTTTGAATTTTGAATTGAACTGAATACAACCAAATTGTAAATAATTCCACAAAATACGTTTTTTTTTTTTACCTGCTACACTGGAAGTGTAACTTTTAGTCAGGGCGAGCAGAGTGTGAGCCACTTTATCCTATTACTCCAGCTGAGATACACTATATAGCGGGAACTCGCTTAGCCGTGCTAGCTTCACCCTCATGTGGGTGCTAACAAGCTAACAAGCATGCTAAGTAGTGCTAGGTATCAACAGCCATTGTCATCCAATCCAGTAGGGGTTGGAAGTTCTGGTGAGGTTTGATTGGTTACTCGCGAGCGATATCACCAAAGATTTGCTTGATGATCAGCTTTGCCCAACATCAGTCCCACCTTGTTCAGCTCCCTCTCCCATGCTTGCATCTCCCAACGGTCTGTAGTGTATACACACCGTCAGATGTGAACTGCATGTTGAAATCACGCCCTGTCAAACTGCAGCAACCTTGCTCATATTAATTATATTTTAAAACTAGACTAACAGGGGGGTTTCTGTTACACATACACAGAGACAACTGTGATTAGACAATAACTAACAGGGCTGAGCTTGCTTTATGCAGGGTTGCATCATGTATGTATTTGTACTCCTGAACTCAGGTTCGTTGGCTGCCCACTAATTGTCCACACCTGATCTTAATGAGTGCTTGTTTCCTTTGAAATGGGTCTGTTTGAATAGACTAAAATTGACAACTTTGTATGACTTTAAAAAAACAGCATGCTAGCTCCATCCTGGTGGCACAGTGGACTAATTCCATGGATAGAGAACAGAAGATGCCATAACAAAAAAATGTATGCTGAAGCAAATGAATTTCCATGTGTCCTATCTTTGCTTGGAGTTGAAAACAGTCAAATCAAACTAAGCTAGCAGTATTATTAAAAGTCTTATTTGAAACATGTTCTCAGAATGTTATTTAATTACCTTCAAATAGCCTATAATTTCTGTTATCAGAACATGAATAACACCTCCCAGGAAAACTTTCAGGGAACCATAGTAAAACGTTCTCAAAACCTTTCTGCAACCTAAAAATGAAAGTTCCCAGAACAGGTCAAATTTTCACTTTCGGTCTCAGAATGTTTAAAAAACGGTATGTTTAACCAGTCAGGAAATTGATGACTTTGTTCCCAGAACCAATGGGAAACCAAAAACGTGCGTTCCCACAACTTCCAAGGCTGTGCTAGCTGGGAGGCTTTCAAAAGGCAGAAATACAACCAATCAGAAAAACAGATTGTAATTTTGGTGTGCATAGAATGGGGTCATGAGTGCATTCAAATGTGTGTTATGCAGCTAATTTCCTTCACAATACGACACAGATAGGCTCATTCTGTTCAGGAAAGCCCAGGGTATAACGCATGTCATCCTTGTACCAGTGGATCAAAAATAGAGATCATAAACATTGATACTGTAAATTGCATCAGTTTTCAAATATAAATTTGAAATGTGAAGTGCACATTTGAACTCACGGGTGTGTGGTTTGCTTGTAATGACATCAAAGTGGTATTTATTATAATCCTTAATGTCCCATCTTTCATAACACATCGACTCCTCTTGATTTATAATATTTCCCTCACTCAGACAACAACAAATGTGCAAAAATAGCCCAATTAGAGGGAGGGATGGCGTTATCTTCTTGTCTCGTGCGGTATTCAAAGTTTGTAATGGCTGTCAGTCAAAACCACTACCGGCACTGTGAAGTGGAGAACCTGAGCTCTTACGTTATGAATAGCGTGTTACTGTACAGCCACTGCGTTCAAATTTAGTTAAATAAAGGTTAAATAAATAAATGAAAAATAGGCGCTTATCAATAAACAAATCTGCCATTTTCAACTCATATAGGGGATGACTGGGGCAAGTGAACCGAGCAGTTGGGCAAATTGAGTCTGCTCTAAAATTTCCCCAGGTGTTTTAATTTGTATATATTTTTATCTGAAAATAACAAAACTATTTTCAGTTAAAGCCTACTGGAAGAAATTCCAGTAGGCTTAGCCTAAAACGGATATTTCTGTTTCATCCCCAATTCATGGCATTTATGGCAGCCGGGCATATTGAGCCAGGTCTGTGGTTGTCCGTTAGGCAGATTGTTTTTTTAACTGAATGGTTCTGAAAGAGTTCTGGATTAATATAATGCTCAGCCTACCACTGGCTTGGTTCTGACTGGAGGAGGAGCTCACAGCCTGCAATAAAAAGCGGCTGATTACATTGAGGGGAAACATTTCTAAGAGGTATCCGTCGGTCTGGGAACAGTCTTGTAGGGAAATACGTTCTAGTGTAGTTAAGCCTCACACTTTCATTAGTCGGATCCTTTTGTGATATTTGGTGAACCATAATTCGTTTAAAAATGACTTGGTCTGTAAGCAGTTGTTTCATTACTCTGTTCGTTTTGTTCCTTTGGCGGGTGGAAGACATCGCAGAAGCTTGCAAATGCTCCCCTCCGCATCCTCAACAGGCTTTTTGTAATGCAGATGTCGGTAAGGCAATTTTGGCAACATTTGACTTTTCAGCTTCTCTTCACATGTGAGCTACTATCAATACGCAACATGTTAACACTTCATGTATTAGTAGTAGTAGCATGCTCATTAAACCTATTATTTACATAATTTAAGTAGGCGACAGTAAAATGGGTACAGCCATGGCTCTCCAACCCTGTTCCTGGAGAGCCAACCTCCTGTAGGTTTTCAATCCAACCCCAGTTGCAACTAACCTGGTTCAGTTTATCAACCAGCTAATTATTAGATTGAGGTGCGCTAGAATAGGATTGGAATGTAAACCTACAGGATGGTAGCTCTCCAGGAACAGGGTTGAGAACCCTGCTACACTAAGATGTTATATTTTGCTTTAGGCATAAACTGTCTGCAAATAAATTATTTGAGATGTATATGTGTGATTACAAAATAGTAAGGACATCTGCTCTTTCCATGACATGGACTGGCCAGGTGTAATTTATGATCCCTTACTGATGTCACCTGTTAAATCCACTTCAATCAGTGTAGAGGAAGGGGAGGAGACCGGTTAAAGAAGGCTGTTTAAACCTTGAGACAACTGAGACGGATTGTCTGTGTGCCATTCAGAGGGTGAATGGGCAAGACAAAATAGTTAAGTGCCGTTGAATGGGTTATGGTAGTATGTGCCATCAGAGGTATTTATTATAATCCTTAATGTCATGTTTTTCATAACACATCGACTCTTCTTGATTTACAGCATTTCCCTCACTCCGACAACCGCAAAAGTAGCCCAATTAGAGGGAGGGATGGGGTTATCATCTTGTCTCGTGCGGTGTTCAAGTTTATAATGGCTGTCAGTCAAAACCCCTACCAGCACTGTGAAGTGGAAAACCTGAGCTCTTACATTATAACGTAAGAGCTCATTGAAAACGCAGTGGATGTACAGTAACATGCTATATGTATAAACGCAGTGGATGTACAGTAACATGCTATATGTATATCCACTGCGTTTTCAATGTAGGCGCTTATCAATAACAAAATCTGCCATTTTCAACTCGTATACGGGATGACAGGGGCTGTGAGTGGAAAGGGCTACGGGTTCTTTATTGCCTACGGCAAGTGAACTGAGCAATTGGGCAAGTTGAGCCTGCTCTAAAGTTTACCGTGGTGGTTTAAAAAAAGCCTGAAATAAACAAAACTAAGGAATTCCAGTAGGCGTAGCCTAACACTGATCTTTCTGTTTCATACCCATTGTTTAAGTGAAAGATGGACAATTTATGGAAGCAGGGCATGCCGCTGTGTTGTGCCATTAGGCAGTGGATTTTTTTTTTTACTGCGTGGCTGAGATTCTGGATTAATAAAATGCTCAGCCTACCACTGGCTTGGTTCTGACTGCGGGAGGAGCTCACAGCCTACAATAAAATGCGGCTGAAATTCGTTCGAGTGTAGTTTACACATCACCCTTGCATTAGTCGTATCCTTTTGCGATATTTGGCAAACCACTCGACCACGACCATATTAAAAACTTGGGACTAAAGATTTCTGTCTTTAGCTCTCGTTGGTTAAACATTTTTCCTCACTCGATAGATGTATATATTTTTCCATTGAGCCGAGAGTAGAATAATTCATTTCTAAAATGACATGGTCCGCAAGCAGTTGTTTCTTTACTCTGTTCGTGCTGTACCTTTGGCGGGTTGGAGACATCGCAGAAGCTTGCAAATGCCGCACTCCGCATCCTCAACAGGCTTTTTGCAACGCAGACGTCGGTAAGCCAATTTTGGCAAGATTTGACTTTTTAACTTCTCCACATGTTGAGTTACTACTGTCTCAGTATGCAACATGCTAACATTTTATGAATTGTCTGTGGTCGTTGTAATAATAATAATTTGGACACTGTCATTAAGCCTATATTTACATTCTCACACAATTATTTACATAAGTAGACAACAGTAAGATGGGCTACAGCCAGGGCTCTCCAACCCTGTTCCTGAAGGTCTTCAATCCAACCCGTTGTAACTAACCTGATTCAGTTGATCAACAAGGTAATTATTAGATTCAGGTGCGCTAGAATAGGATGGAATGTAAACCTACAGGACGGTAGCTCTCCAGGAACAGGGTTGAGAACTCTGCTACACTAAGTGTTATATTTTGCTTTTGGCAAAAACAGTATGCCTACAGATGTATTATTTGTCCAAAAGCTAAATGAGATAGATAGCTACTGTGTACAAAACATTTAAAGGCCACCTGCTCTTTCCATGACATAGACTGGCCAGGTGAAAGCTATGATCCTTTATTGATGTCACTTGTTAAATCCACTTAAATCAGTGTAGATTAAGCGGAGACAGGTTAAAGAAGGCTGTTTAAACCTTGAGACATGGATTGTGTGTGTTAATATTGTCTTACATTTAGCCCAAGGTATTGTTGTAGTGTAGACTATTGAAATAAAATATTGGTAGGCTATATCACTTATTTTTGACAGGTTCTGTTTCATTATATTAAGAGGGATGGCCTGCTTTATGTACAACATACCGGTAATAACGAGGGAACGGTGGAGGGTGGAATAGTCTCTCCTATTTCCTGTCACATTCATCCTCTATTGCAAGTGTCAGACTCATTCCACGCAGGGCCGAGTGTCTGCGGCTCTTTGCTGCACCGTTGTTCTATGATATCATGGCGTTCAGCAAACAATCGTGTAAGTGCATGCCGCCACCTATTGTGCTGGAATGTACTATCAATCATTATCTGCCCAATTCTGTAGTACCATGAAAACCAAATAAATACCTAACTTCTACCACCCCCTCCCCCCAAAACCCCTCCACAACCCCATTAAACTTAATCTACATCATGCTGAAACACTCCACCTGTAGGATTGTTCAGCATGTCAAAAACCATTTCAACAGTAACATCTGTTACACCCAATATCTCTTTTGCCATCTCCACATTAACCTTCAACCTGACATTTCTGATTTCCACAACCTGAGTCGTATTGATAACCTTATCAATAAAAGCTATGAAGTCAACTTTATTCATTATCAAAGTGTCCTTACACACCGCACATTCATGAGCACAAGATGTTTTGCCTGTGTGTATTCTGGTTATGTTTTTTCCCCAAAGATTGCTGACTAGCTTCCTCCTGTGTCGGCTCAGGAGCCTCAGAGCAGGCCAGGCACATTCCTTTCTGATTACAGCTGAGGCGCTCATATGCCTCTCCTATGCGTAACAATGTTAAACCATCAGTGTGACTGACCAGTATAGAGGAGTTCAATAACGTTAGTTAAACCATGTTTCTCTTTTCTAGTGATCAGGGCAAAGGTGGTTGGAGTGAAACTTGTGTCTGGTAACATCCTCAAGTATGACATCCAACAGATCAAGGTATGATCAGCCTTTTTATTAAGTGGTTGTTCCTTCCTGCACTGAAATGTTGAAGCCCCCTGAACCCCAGTCTGACAGCTGGTCCCAATTCGCTCCCTTAGCTCCAACCCTTCAATGTTTGCAGATCTGGGTAGGTATAAACAGTGTAGTTGTGGCGCATCCACCGTACTGGTCCTAGACTATGGTGACATCCTCTATATGAACTCAGCTGCCCCTTCAATAAAGCCATTAGATGCAGTTTATCAAGGCTTTATTACGGGTGACTGGTTTAGTACTCATCACTACATTCTCTACCAGATAGTTGGTTGGCGCTATTTGATGTCACAGGTTCTTTTACGAAGCCCTTTTACAAAAACTCCCACTGTACCTTACATCATTACTATCCTTTCGACACATGAGTTACCACACCTGGTCTCAGGGATGGCTAACTCTGGAAATTCCTTTGGTCTCTGAGTTAGGTAAACCAGCTTTTTTTTTGCACTGTATTTGTAGAACAAGCTTCAACATTTTCTAAACGTTGGATGTTTTGGTGCCTCTAGATCAATTCAGGAAACTGACTGAGGACCTTATTACAGATTATTTTTTATGACTTTATGCTTGCGTTTTGTGTGTTTCTGTAATTCAGGGCTCATCTGTAAAATAGACCTTGATTAAATAAAGTATTGCTTCCACTTTACAGATCTGGAAACATCAAAGGGCTTTAGACTGAGGGGATGGGGTATAAGAAGGGAATTAGTAAAGACTGACAGTGCCTGAGCGCTGCAGTCAGTGAGGTTCAAAACTGTATATGTAGGTGTTTTGACAGATCCTTCTTTTTCTCCTCCTTGTGATTGGATAGATGTTCAAAGGTCCTGACCGGGTTATCCACGCCATCTTCACTGCATCCTCCCCAGCCGCATGCGGCGTGACTCTGGAAATCAACAAGGAGTATCTCTTCATAGGTGCAGTTCTCACTACGTTACCCAAGTTCCATTGCCAGCACTGGTTAACCCTATCAGTCCTGAGACCCCAGCAAAAATGTGCTTTTCATTTATCTGCATGTCCAGCCCTTACATTTAGCCTCACAGTAAATTGCTTTACCATTTTATTTTCAGGACAGCCAGGGCTACAAGTAAAACACAAAACAATTTGATATTAGTTTTATTGACAAATGTCAACAACAAAAAAATCCACCAAGTCAGAAACTTGAAAAGTACAGAAATGGTGTCCTCAGTGGGAATTAATATCCAACCAGTCAGTGACAACTGTTTGGTGTTTGTGACAGCAACTATGTAAGCGTATTAAAGATGGATCATTGGAAATCCGAGGACATATGTAGAATAACCCCTTACCTTCTAAGGACTCTTGTGATCTTCGTGGAGCAAAACGTGTTCATAGTCTCAGCTTTTCATAAATTGTTTTTAATAGTACTTCAAGCCATTTGGACTCTACAGACGTTTTTGTAAAAGACCCAGCCCTTGGCCCCTTTGGGATCTGCCCTTGTCCCACAAACCCCGCTCTAGCTCAGCTGCTGTTAATCACAAACTAATGGTTGGTACCAACATTTGCAGAAGTGGACTAATCCAAAAACTGAGCTTACTCAAGAAAGCCCACCTTGAATCGCATTTTGAAGTATGCAAAAAAAAGCTCAACACTTGGGATTCTGTAGCTATGTGGCAAAAAGTTGTGGTCTGACAAAACTAAGATGTAACTTCTTGGCCTAAATGCAAAGCGTTACCCAACACTGCAAATCACCCAAAGAACACTATCCCTACTGTGAAGCATGGTGGCAGCATCATGTTATGAGGATGTTTCTCATCATTGGGGATAGAAGGGAAAATGAATGGCACAGTGTACAAAAATAAATGCAACATGCATCAATTTCGAAGATTTTACTGAGTTACAGTTCATATGGAAATCCTAATTAGCCCCTAATCTATGGATTTAACATGATTGGGAATACAGATATGCATCTGTCGGTCACAGATCCCTTAAAAAAAAGTTAGGGGCATTGATCAGAGAACCAGTCAGTATCTGGTGTGACCATTTGCCTCATGCAGCACGACATTTCCTTTGCGTAGAGTTGATCAGGCTGGTGATTGTGGCCCGTGGAATGTTGTCCCACTCTTCAATGGCTGTGTGCAGTTGCTGGATATTGGCGGGAACTGGAACACTCTGTCCATCCAGAGCATTCCAAACATGCTCAATGGGTGACATGTCTGGTGAGTATGGAGGCCATTGAAGAACGGACATTTTCAGCTTCCAGGAGTTGTGTACAGATCCTTGCGACATGGGGCTGTGCATTATCATGCTGAAACATGAGGTGGTGGCAGATGAATGGCACAACAATGGGCTTCAGGATCTCGTCACGGTATCTCTGTGCATTCAAACTGCCATCGATTTAAAATGTAATTGTGTTTGTTTACAATGTTGACATCAGCAAACCGCTTGCCCACACGACGCCATCCACTTGATCTGCCATCTGCCCGGCACAGTTGAAACCGGGAATAATCCGTGAAGAGCACACTTCTCCAACTTGCCAGTTGCCATCGACGGTGAGCATTAGCCCACTGAAGTCTGTTAAGACACTGAACTGCAGTCACGTCAACCCTGATGAGGACAACGTGCACGCAGATTAACTTTTCGGAGACTGTTTCTGACAGTTTGTGCAGAAATTCTTCGGTTGTGCAATCCCAGGTGACTGGTTTCAATTCTCTAAAATGACGTTGGTGGCAGCTTATGGTAGAGAAATAAACATTATTCTCTGGCAACAGCTCTGGTTGACATTCCTGCAGTCATGCCAATTGCATGCTCCCTCAACTTGAGACATCTGTGGCATTGTGTTGTGACAAAACTACACATTTTAGTGGCCTTTTATTGTCCCCAGCACCTGCGTTCAAACAACTTCTTGATATGCCACACCTGTCAGGTGGATGGAATATCATATATTGGCCAAGGAGAAGTGCTCACGAACAGGGATGTAAACAAATTTGTGCACAATTTGAGAGCGACGCATTTTGTGCAAATGGAACATTTCTGGGGTCTATTTTTATTTCAGCACATGAAACATGGGCCCAAGACTTTACATGTTGCGTTTTTAATTTTGTTCAATGTAAATCCATGAAACTGAGGCACTGACACAACAAAATGTGAGAAGTTCAAGGAGCTTAGACTTTCTATAGGCACTGTAAAACGTTTACAACTAATCCATTACTTACTTATTATTAGTATGTACACTTATGATGAGATATCTGTGTTATGGGCTGCATCAGTATGTCTTTACGCTCCAGGGTGAAGTTTTCCCCCAGGGACGTAGGCCAATCCTAACCTTAACCATTAGTGGAATAAATGCTAAACTGAGCCGAGATCAGCGTCTAGGGTCCACTTTACCCTTCACCATGTTTTCCCTACAGCACTTTGACTCACTATCTCCTCTGTCTGTAGGCATGCTGGAGACTGGAAGGATGTACATAACACTGTGTGGCTATAATCTGCCCTGGGAGGACTTGAGTGCCGGACAAAAGAAGAGCTTGAATCACCGCTACCAAAGTGGCTGCGATTGCAAGGTGTGATGGGAATTATAGTAATATTACTATACACCAGTTTTGTTTTAATATTTACATGGGACATTTTCTTAAAGGGAGTATACTACTCTGGTCACATTGGCAAAATGCATGAGCTAGAGTATTGTGGTAATGAGCAGTCAGTGATCTTGGGCTTTCTCTCTCCCTACTCCGATACACAGGTCATCCACTGCATTTCCCTCCCCTGTCCGACCAGTGCCACAGATGCATGCCTGTGGACAGACTGGGGGACTGACAATGGCCGTAACCTTGCCTGTATCAAGAGGAGAGATGGGACTTGTGAATGGAAGTAGTTCCTGGATATTGAAAACTCCTTAACTCTAAAGGCTATCCACTCACTGTTCGATGACTAAAGATGCCTGTAATAAATAAGATTAACAGAAAGCTGCAATTTTTGTTTTAAATGAACCAGAATTGCTTACTGGTAACTTCTACAAATGCAATAAAAACAAACTAATCAAATATAGCCCTCCAAGTTGTCATTTACTGTGCCACTCATTTGGTGCTAGTTTAACTAACAAGGCGCTATTGAAACCTAAAACCACACTGGCCGACACCACTGTCGTATTCACTATCACTGCTTCATCATTTGCTTTTCATTTACTAGCTTATCTTACTATGGACAAAACCCTTTTGATTTTGCTGCAATGGAGATTGTAAACCTGGTTGCTTTGGTTGACAGTGCCGGTTAGCCTTTTTTGTCATGAATCTTGTTCTGGAGGTTACACTGCAGATGGGCAAAGTCATAAAATAAGGTTTTATACTTAACCTTAACCACACTGCTCACCCTAATTCCTAACCTTTAAGACTAAAGGAAATGTTTTTATTCATTTTTAAAGAAAATAATTTGTACAATATAGCTGATATTTGGACTTTGCAGCTGACCTAGCTAAGGGGAAATTGCTCAGTTCTGCCTCCAGGACAAGACTAATGACAAGCGTCAACCTGCTCACACAGTGCTATGTTTACAGTGGGTATAATTGTTTTTTTTTACATTTTATTTTACAAAGTGGGATTGAGAGTGTTTATTGATTTTGGTCCTCAAACCCCCCCACAAATTAAGTAACAAATTAGTTGTGTAAGTATTAACCTCCTTTGTTTAGGCGAGCCTAAATTAGTTAAGGAATAAAATGTGCCTTAACAAATCACAAGTTACATGGGTTGACATGATTTTTGAATGACTACCCCTTCCTCTGTCCCCCATATCTGTAAGGTCCCTTTCGAAAGCCTCGGAAGGGCAGTGATTGGTAGATGGATACCAAATAACAAATCCGACGTTGATTCTAAGCATAGTAAAGTTACTTATGCTGTGGATTATATAAAACCACCCAGACATTATGCGTCCAACATTATGCATACCCACCATGGTATTGGGCAGCTGCTGACGTTTGAAAACTAATCTGGTTTAGAAATCAAATTCTGGTGATCTTATTGTAGAGCACTTTGAAATTATGCCCAGGTTTTTTTTGGGGGGGATTGTATTGCATGGTATGCTGTGTCGGATATGCCATGTTGGAATATGCAGCTGTAGATTTTAAACCTCCATTCTAGAATGCATAAGGCACATCTTTCTATCTACATGCTTTAATTTGTGATTCTATGCAAATTATATGATTGAATGCTTCTTTAAGCATGCAGCTAGTTACAGTGAGGGGGGGAAAAAGTATTTGATCCCCTGCTGATTTTGTACGTTTGCCCACTGACAAAGAAATGATCAGTCTATAATTTTAATGGTAGGTTTATTTGAACAGTGAGAGACAGAATAACAACAAAAAAATCCAGAAAAACACGTGTCAAAAATGTTATGAATTGATTTGCATTTTAATGAGGGAAATAAGTATTAGACCCCTCTGCAAAACATGACTTAGTACTTGGTGGCAAAACCCTTGTTGGCAATCAGAGGTCAGACATTTCTTGTAGTTGGCCACCAGGTTAGCACACATCTCAGGAGGGATTTTGTCCCACTCCTCTTTGCAGATCTTCTCCAAGTCATTAAGGTTGAGGCTGATGTTTGGCAACTCGAACCTTCAGCTCCCTCCACAGATTTTCTATGGGATTAAGGTCTGGAGACTGGCTATGTCACTCCAGGACCTTAATGTGCTTCTTCCTGAGCCACTCCTTTGTTGCCTTGGCCATGTGTTTTGGGTCATTGTCATGCTGGAATACCCATCCACGACCCATTTAATGCCCTGGCTGAGGGAAGGATGTTCTCACCCAAGATTTGACGGTACATGGTCCCGTCCCTTTGATACAAACAAGTGGTCCTGTCCCCTTTAGCAGAAAAACACCCCCAAAGCATGTTTCCACCTCCATGTTTGATGGTGGGGATGGTGTTCTTGGGGTCATAGGCAGCATTCCTCCTCCTCCAAACACGGCGAGTTGAGTTGATGCCAAAGAGCTCCATTTTGGTCTCATCTGACCACAACACTTTCACCCAGTTCTCCTCTGAATCATGCAGATGTTCATTGGCAAACTTCAGACGGGCATGTATATGTGCTTTCTTGAGCAGTGGGACCTTGCGGGTGCTGCAGGATTTCAGTCCTTCACGGCGTAGTGTGTTACCAATTGTTTTCTTGGTGACTATGGTCCCAGCTGCCTTGAGATCATTGACAAGATCCTCCCGTGTAGTTCTGGGCTGATTCCTCACCGTTCTCATGATCATTGCAACTCCACGAGGTGAGATCTTGCATGGAGCCCCAGGGAGATTTGACAGTAGTTTTGTGTTTCTTCCATTTGCGAATAATCGCACCAACTGTTGTCACCTTCTCACCAAGCTGCTTGGCGATGGTCTTGTAGCCCATTCCAGCCTTGTGTAGGTCTACAATCTTGTCCCTGACATCCTTGGAGAGCTCTTTGGTCTTGGCAATGGTGGAGAGTTTGGAATCTGATTGATTGATTGCTTCTGTGGACAGGTGTCTTTTATGCAGGTAACAAGCTGAGATTAGGAGCACTCCCTTTAAGAGTGTGCTCTTAATCTCAGCTCGTTACCTGTATAAAAAGACACCTGGGAGCCAGAAATCTTTCTGATTTGAGAGGGGGTCAAATACTTATTTCCCTCACTGTACATATAGTAATATATACCAAATAGGTGCAATAGCCATATTATTACGGCGCCCCTGGAGGAAATTAGTTAAGTGCCTTGCGCAAGGGCACACAGACAAATGTTTCACCTTGTTAGCGCGGTTATTCGAACCAGCGACCTTTGGTACTGGCCACACTAACCACTAGGCCAGTGTTCCCAACCCTGGTCCTGGAGTACTCCCAACAGTACACATTTTTGTTGTAGCCCTGGACAAACACTATTCTAGGGCCGTGTTCAAAAATTCCTTTGGTTCCAGTTTAAAAACGAGCAGATGAATGCACAAGAAATTAATACTTGAAGTGCTATATTTGAAGTTCATTTTTATTGCATTGTTGCCCTCTTTCACATTGACAATTTCCTGCAACCTGTCCTCACATCACAAGTCAATTTGGGGCTTGGAATTATGAACTACTTTATTGATTCATTTAAAAATCATAATTTCAATTTGTAGCTGGCCTGTAGAGTTTAGGGGTCTTCCATATCCAGAACAACTTCTTGGGTGGTGCTATCCCTTGTACCAGGCACAGGACCCGTCACCCACCTTGATGCAGGCAACGTTTCTGGCCCAGGGTCCGCTTTTGCCATTGTCCATCCACAGGCACTCATCTGGGACGCTGATTGGACAGGGGAGGGAAGAGCAGGGGATGATGTGTATCAGAGTAGGGAGAGAGAAAGACCAAGATCACTGACTGATCATTACCTCAATACTCTAGCTCATGTGTTTTACCAATGTGACCAGAGTACTCTAAGTGTGCTGTGTAAATACTGAACAAAACTGACTAAACACACTGTGCAATCACAGCTGCTTTGGTAGCGCCAAGTCAAGCTCCTCATTTGTGTGTCACTCAAAGCCTCCCAGGACTGAATGAAGTCACATTATTACGTGCACCGTTCCATCAGTATTCAGCCTGCCTGCAGAAAGAGATAGTGAGTCATGAACATGCTGTAGGGTAAAGCTGCCCCTAGATGCTGATCTTAGATCCGTTTTTTCCACATAAGGTTAGGATTGTGGGAAAGAAATGATCCTAGATCCATCCCTTGGGGAAACTGCACCCTGGAGCAGGCAGACATACCGATGCAGCCCGGAACACTGGAATTTATCATCATAATAAATAAGTAATTCATTAGTTGTAAACATTTAAGCATTATAAACACTCCATTTCATAAGCATTTATAATGATTAAAGAATTTGTTAACGCGTAAGCTTTTGAGTTATTCTAAATGTGTATAGAGAATGCATTTTCTAAAGCACTTGTTTTCTTGTACAAGATGAAGTCAATAGTCTAGAGTAGGCCATGAGGCTGTAAGCATTTCTAACCAGTGCTGGCAATGGAACTTGGGTAACCTAGTGAAAACCGCACCTGTGAAGAGATACTCCTTGTTGGTTTCCAGAGTCGCGTGACACGGGCCTCTGGTGAAGATGGCGTTGATATCCCAGTCAGGACCTTTGAACATCTAGCCAATCACAAGGAGAGAAAGGAGGATCCATCAAACATGTCCATATACAGTGAGGGAAAAAAGTATTTGATCCCCTGCTGATTTTGTACGTTTGCCCACTGACAGAGAAATGATCAGTCTATAATTTTAATGGTAGGTTTATTTGAACAGTGAGAGACAGAATAACAAAAAAATCCAGAAAAACGCATGTCAAAAATGTTATAAATTGATTTGCATTTTAATGAGGGAAATAAGTATTTGACCCCCTCTCAAATCAGAAAGATTTCTGGCTCCCAGGTGTCTTTTTATACAGGTAACGAGCTGAGATTAAGAGCACACTCTTAAAGGGAGTGCTCCTAATCTCAGCTTGTTACCTGCATAAAAGACACCTGTCCACAGAAGCAATCAATCAGATTCCAAACTCTCCACCATGGCCAAGACCAAAGAGCTCTCCAAGGATGTCAGGGACAAGATTGTAGACCTACACAAGGCTGGAATGGGCTACAATACCATCACCAAGCAGTTTGGTGAGAAGGTGACAACAGGGTGTGATTATTCGCAAATGGAAGAAACACAAAAGAACTGTCAATCTCCCTCGGCCTGGGGCTCCATGCAAGATCTCACCTCGTGGAGTTGCAATGATCATGAGAATGGTGAGGAATCAGCCCAGAACTACACAGGAGGATCTTGTCAATGATCTCAAGGCAGCTGGGACCATAGTCACCAATAAATCAATTGGTAACACACTACGCCGTGAAGGACTGAAATCCTGCAGCGCCCGCAAGGTCCCCCTGCTCAAGAAAGCACATATACAGGCCCGTCTGAAGTTTGCCAATGAACATCTGAATGATTCAGAGGTCAGATGAGACCAAAATGGAGCTCTTTGGCATCAACTCAACTCGCCGTGTTTGGAGGAGGAGGAATGCTGCCTATGACCCCAAGAACACCATCCCCACCGTCAAACATGGAGGTGGAAACATTATGCTTTGGGGGTGTTTTTCTGCTAAGGGGACAGGACAACTTCACCGCATCAAAGGGACGATGGACGGGGCCTTGTACCGTCAAATCTTGGGTGAGAACCTCCTTCCCTCAGCCAGGGCATTGAAAATGGGTCATGGATGGGTATTCCAGCATGACAATGACCCAAAACACACGGCCAAGGCAACAAAGGAGTGGCTCAAGAAGAAGCACATTAAAGTCCTGGAGTGGCCTAGCCAGTCTCCAGACCTTAATCCCATAGAACATCTGTGGAGGGAGCTGAAGGTTCGAGTTGCCAAACGTCAGGCTCGATACCTTAATGACTTGGAGAAGATCTGCAAAGAGGAGTGGGGCAAAATCCCTCCTGAGATGTATGCAAACCTGGTGGCCAACTACAAGAAACGTCTGACCTCTGTGATTGCCAACAAGGGTTTTGCCACCAAGTACTAAGTCATGTTTTGCAGAGGGGTCAAATACTTATTTCCCTCATTAAAATGTAAATCAATTCATAACATTTTTGACATGCGTTTTTCTGGATTTTGTTGCCGTTATTCTGTCTCTCACTGTTCAAATAAACCTACCATTAAAATTATAGACTGATCATGTCTTTGTCAGTGGGCAAATGCACAAAATCAGCAGGGGATCAAATACTTTTTTCCCTCACTGTAGGCCTATCTCAGAATATCTAATGAGTCAATATCCGGCCATACCATGTATGATAGCCGAAGGGAATCTAAAAATGATTTGTGCATGAAGGGGAAATATGGATTTCATATTTGTCAAATTATTGAGCATGTGCTGAAGACTCAGAAATGCATCAGAAATAGTGCTTATTTTCAGCATATTGAAAAGCATATGAAGATCCGGATATGGACCTCAGCCAAGAGAAGCATATCTGGAATCAATATAGCTTCATGTCTTGAATGTGCTGAGAAAACACATATGCAATGTATACAGTCAGTATTTGTCAACATGAAGAGAGAAAATAGGATGTCACATATCTCAGGATATTGAATGATTCCATATCCGACCATAGGAAATGTCCATGTGTGATATTCGGTCGGCGTAATCCCAATATCATATATGTCTAAAAGACACATCTGGATTCAGAATTTGTCAGGATATGGTGCATATCCACAAAACTCTAAACATGCATTAGAAATGGTCTGATTCTCTAGAATATCAAAAACATATCATGTAAAGATATCCCCTGATATGGACCCTTTTCGCCCAGTACTTATATTACAGATTAATTTCAGAAATGTTATTTGCATACCAAATTTACAAAATAGTAAAAACATGATTTTTAACCTGATTTTCATTTAATTTAGAGAAGTATCATCTCTATTGTTCTCTGTAAAATGTTAAGTGTTAATTGTATGAATTTGAAACATGTTTATTGATTTAATTATTTATGCATCTAATTCATTATGTTGTTAGATGTTTAAATTATCACTTTACCTATCTTTATGTTGGCAAAATAACTGGCGTTTTGGTGTCAAGTGTCAATCATAGAGATAAATGGAGGACTCTAGATGGATATAACTCTTTTTAGTATAGACATTGACATTGAGGGATTTCACCATTTAAAAGTAGTCAACTGGGTGGGGATTCCTATGGATTGGGAGTGATCAGCCAATGATCAGAGAGTATTGTCTTCTTCAAATTGGGTTGCCTATGGTTTGTAAACCAAAGACTAAGGTAATATCAGAGAGGAAGAGTAAGAGAGAGGCCCAACTCGGCGTAAAATCTGTCTCCCTCCAGCAGCAGTTGTTGTTTAGCCCACCAAACAAGGAGTTTTTATATGGAGGTCAATGACAGTGTCGAATTTGGTCAACAAAAAAATTAATGGCTTATTTGCTACGTGATGTTTATTTGATCTAATAGAAGTTTTGTAATGCTGAAGTTGTTAGGAGTGTACTGATATAAGTACAGTAGGACACGTGACATCCTGGCAACTTTGAGAAGAAACACTTTATATCAGAGTTGTCTCGAGATGTCTGTGCATATTCATGGTATGAGGCTAGTAGCATAGCATCTCTCTCCATTGAATACAGGCAGTTAATGTCAACAACCCTCATCGAATATTCAAAAAACGATTACAATAATGAGACGTATCCACCAATCCAAAGAAATGATAGGCTGGAGCTAGACAGCCCGCCGTGCCGCTTTGTGGCCAATGGCTTCCATTATTAGGGTGGAGAGACATGCATCTTGTCAGTATATCCATAATCTTTGGTAATACCCAGGAGCCAAGACCAAGATTTATACCATGACATTGGTCCCAAGATCCAGAACCAATGAGTTGACACCATGACGAGTTAAAGACCAAATGTATGTGGTTTTGGGTAGTCTCAAGACCAAGACCACTAGATCAAAAGTCCATAGGCCCTTTCTTCAATTGTAAGAAACTCGAGTAGAGTACAGGACAGTAGAGTACAGTACTCTAATAATCTCTCATTCAACGTCAACAAAACAAAGGAGCTGATCGTGGACTTCAGGAAACAGCAGAGGGAGCACGCCCCTATCCACATCGATGGGACCGCAGTGGAGAAGGTGAAAAGCTTCAAGTTCCTTGGCGTACACATCACTGACGATCTGAAATGGTCCACCCACACAGACAGTGTGGTGAAGAAGGCCCAAAAGCGCCTCTTCAACCTCAGAAGGCAGAAGAAATTTGGCTTGGCACCTAAAACCCTCACAAACTTTTACAGATGCACAATTGAGAGCATCCTGTCAGGCTGTATCACCGCCTGGTATGGCAACTGCACCGCCTGCAACAGCAGGGCTCTCCAGAGGGTGGTGCGGTCTGCCCAATGCATCACTGGGGGCAAACTACCTGCCCTCCAGGACACCTATAGCACCCGATGTCACAGGAAGGCCAAAAAGATAATCAAGGACAACAACTACCCGAGCCACTGCCTGTTCACCCCGCTATCATCCAGAACGTGAGGTCAGTACAGGTGCATCAAAGCTGGGACTGAGAGACTGAAAAACAGGTTCTATCTCGAGGCCATCAGAATGTTAAAAAGCCATCACTAGCTGGCTTCCACCCGGTCACGCAACCCTGCACCTTAGAGGCTGCTGCTCTAAATACATAGACTTGAAATCACTGGCCACTTTTATAATGGAACAATAGTCACTTTAATAATGTTTACATATTTTTGCTTTACTCATCTCATATGTATATACTGTATTCTATTCTACTGTATTTTAGTCTATGCCACTCCGACATTGCTCATCCTATTTCTTAATTCCATTATTTTACTTTTAGATTGTGTTAGTATTATGTGTATTGTTGTGGCCTACCACTTCACGGCTGGGCCGTTGTAGCTCCTAGACAATTCCACATCACAATAACAGCACTTACAGGTGACCGGGGCAGCTCTAGCAGGACAGAAATTTGACGACCTGACTTCAGTAAGGCAATTCTACTGCCAATGTTTGTCTATGGCTGTGTGCTCGATTTTATACACCTGTCAGCAGTGGGTGTGGCTGAAATAGCCAAATCCACTAATTTGAAGGGGTGTCCACATACTTTTGTATATACAGTATAGTGTATATTAGATTATCGTTACTGACACTTCTTCAAAATACATGAAGATGTACCAACTTGTTCACTCATTTCTCCAAATTGTTTGCAGACTACTATGTGGCCATGCTGGAGAGGGGTCCAATCCCATCACCTGATGATATGTGTAGGGGTGTGGCTTAAGGCACATTCATTCTACAGTCTTTTATTGTGTGTGCTTCCTTAGGGGCTGAAAAAAGCTTGGACAACAAAAGGTGAACATTTTGAAAGGGGGTGGTGACTTTCTATACCCACTGTATATATTTCCACACTATGAGGTTGGAAGAATACTGTGAAATTGTGAAAAATATGATAATGCCCTTTTAGTGTAAGAGCTGTTTAAAAAGCCAGACTGAAATTTCAGCAGTCACGGGATGGTTTTAAAATTGCCCTTTGTCCGACATCTCGCAAATAAACTGTCAGAATCTGAGCAGCGTCTCTAGTTTTGCCTACTTCTCTAGTGAGCCCACTCAGAGCTGGGGGAGTTCGTTTCACGTCTCAGGCCCTCGGCCTGTGCCGCGAGAGGGCGGAGTTAGCCGTTTGAAAGACTGATGAATGTGCCGCAAAGAAGGAAAATCCGGGGGACGCAGGCGAACCACTGTTCATGATTCCGCTCGTTCGCAAAGAGGCAGGCACGATTAGAACTCAGTCAGATCAACAATATAAGCGTTCTGAGCTTTTGATCAACGCTGGAAGCAATATTTAGACATTGACCCATAAAGTATTTTCTTTGTGTACAAAATATATATTTGCGTTATTTATTTATTTTCAAATTAGAAAACATTCCAGAGGTCCGGACCTCGGGGTCCTCATATCAGTGGAGGCTGCTGAGGGGAGGACGGCTCATAATAATGGCTGGAATGGAGTTAATGGAATGGCATCAACCACATGAAAACCACATCTTTAATGTGTTTGATGCCATTCCATTGACTCCATTCCAGCCATTATTATGAGCCGTCCTCCCCTCAGAAGCCTCCACTGCATCATATGTAGTTAAGGCCATGATGGGAGAATCTGACTTTGTCAAATGACAAAGAAAACTACACACTTAAACATGTAATTCCTTGTTAGTTGGGTACTTTAAAAGTGTATGCTTCAGTTGATGACATTTTTAGACTGCTTTTCCTGTTCAGGAAGACCACAATGTGTGATTTGTCCATTAACCCAAAGAGGAAGTAGCTAACTAACTGGTTTTGACAAAATGTTGAGGTTGTTTTCACAAAGATTGTTGTCTGTGACAAACTCTGACATTAAAAAATACAAACATTAGTATCCTTTTTTTATTTTGTCAACTTCAAGAATGATGAAATGCTCAGGGTGTACCAGGCAGACAAATAAGAAGTGCAGTATATCAATTAAGATGGATGGTATCAGTTTTAATAGCCACCCAAGCAAGCTCTTGCAATACTGATTGTGAAATCTGTTTTTATGCTTTGACACATCACACCACATCTTCGTTTTTCACAAACATGTCTGAAATCATCTGTCTCTATTTCAAAAAGTTCACAGATGTAAAAAGAAATGCACAACAACGATCTAAAAAGAGAACTGGCTGAACTTTAAGCCATATAAGGTGCTTTGGTTGTTGGTTAACATCTGATTTCCTGTGCACAGATAACCACGAAACAGTGAAATATATTTATAGTCGTGTGCCAGATAAGACCTCATGATACTGTGCACAATATGAGATCTCTCTGCAGTAAAAGGCTGTGAGATGGTTGTAGATCTACTGTATAGTGGCTCTAGGAGAATCTGCCTGTCTTGATACTGGAGTACTCTGTTTCTCCACTGCTCTCCAGACTCACTGCTGCTTTCCCTTTTCCTGTCATGTGGACGATGGTGGAGTATGTCACTGAGGGATCCTCCTGTCGAGAGGGACAATAAGAAACAAGAGACATTCAGAGACACAGGCACTGTAGCTGACATCTAGGGATGCACAGATTCACACTAATTTACACTATATATAATGCTTATACTAGCACACACACACACACGCACACACACACACACGCACACACACACACACACACACACACACACACACACACACACACACACACACACACACACACACACACACACACACACACACACACACACACACACACACACACACACACACACACACACACACACACACTGTACAAATGGCTGTGAAGTATTTGTAGTTAATCATATCAGTTATGTTAGTTCATCATATCAGATGTACATTGTCTTACTGGAGCACTGAGTGGTGTTGTTGTCTCTTCTTGGTTGGTGTTTCTGTGTTCTTGAACCGTAGCATACAATACAGAGGGATCATCCTAGACAGGAGAGATACAATGAGACACCTCAGGCAGCTGGTGGCACCTTAATTGGGAGGGCAGGCTTATAGTAATGGCTGGAACGGAATCAATGGAATGGTATCGAACACATCAAACACGTTTTCCATGTGTTTGATGCCATTCGATTCACTCCTTTCAAGCCATTATTATGAGCCGTCCTCCCATCAGCAGCCTCCAGTGTGAGACACATAAAACAGTGACGTCCACAGCACACAAATAGCACAATGATTCAGATGTTATCTTTCTTGAGACCTTCATTTTCCCACTGAATTTGACATTATTTAATCCAGTAACAGTCTTTAAGACACACACAAACACAAATGTTATCTTACCGGTGCTGTTGTCTTGTCGCCTAAACCAGCGTTTCTGTCTGCAACCGTGGAATACAGCGAGGAATCATCATAGGAGGCTGAAAATAAGACACACCTACAGTAACCTTGTCCCCTTAACCACATAATAACTCAATGACCAGTGGGATGTATTCTATCTATCTTCATTTCTCCACACTCTCAATGTGATAGAGCTTCTAAATGATTTATTTACCCTTTTCTCTCCTCCTGTTTTACTCCCACTACTTTTCTCCCCTGTGTTATTCTTTCCTGGGGATAAAAAAACGGAGTTTCATACACAAAATGAACCATTCCCACATTCCACTGAACTCATTGCTTTTCTGAGCGGTTGCAATTGTGGATACATACCTTTGTTTCTCTTGTATATGTACAAAGCCACTCCAGTGATCATCAGTATGACTGGTAGTATGACAGCTAGTAAAATGGGTTGGATTATATTGTTTTGTAGAGGGGAAGCAGATGGAGCTTCTCCTGAAGTCCCCACTGTGTCTGCCCCTACAGGACATGACAGTGTTCTGTCAATCTACAGTGTAACAGATAGCTTGGCTGTGTGCAGAAAACAGAACTCCTCCAGCACAGTGCAATACAATAGATTATGGAGTCAGCTTTGTATACTGATTTTTGTTCAAACTTCTGTAAATGTACTGGCCCTTTGATGGGAATATGGGTTACAGTATGTAAATGTGATATTTCTGTTTTTATCTGTAATAGATGTGCAAACATTTCTAAAAATCTATTTTGCTTTGTCATTGTGTGTAGATTGATGAGGGAAAAAAACTATTTGATCAATTTTAGAATAAGGCTGTAACGTAACAAAATGTGGAAAAAGTGAAGGGGTCTGAATACTTTCCGAATGCACTGTATATAAACAGAAACAGACATTTAAATGATTTCATTTGAATATTATTTTCATGGAGAAGAATTTCATGACAAACATTCACTGACCTTTAGGTGACGCTGTTGGTACTAGGAATGTTGTGGTGTCTAGTCCTTTTGGTTGAGATAGTGGTGGGAGTTTGGTGGTAGTGGTTGTGAGGGGTTGGTATTTCCCTAACAGACAGGATGAACATTAGCCAGAGCAAAGACACATTACAAAACTATATTATGTACCTAAATCTAATGAGTAGAACAGTTGGTGAAATTTGCTATCAGTTGCATTCAACTTAGTCTGTCAGGTGAGGTAGTCTACATACTGCAGTGCTGTGGGCCTGGAAGGGCCCTCGTCATACAGTATTTTGTTACAATATTTACAGTATGCTGTTACAATATCTACGGATGATTTCCAAAGTGAGTAGATAATATCTATAATGGTGTTCAAAAAGATTGAAGTGATTAAACAGAATTGTCTGTCTTATTTTGAATATCAATTTTGACGTCTCTCATTTGAGTCTCACTGATTTCACACCTGTACCACTCCTGATCGTCCTCAGTGAGTTCTGAGAGGAGGACAGAGAGGTTCCCAGGAGAGGTGTTATTAAATATCTGCACTCTGCCTCGATAGAGATCACTCTGTGTTGATATTATCGCAGGTTTCTGTCGATCTCCAAGTTTAGTCCATGTGAAGCTGGGAGGTTTAGCCTGGGTTTTACTACAGGAGCAGGGCAGGAGAACAGACTGGCCTGGGGATCCATTGACCACCCTTGATTCAGGGCCTGACAGAGTGCAGCCTGTTGAAACACAAAGCAATGTATTATTGGATACTTATTTTTCTAATGACAGAAAATCGTAGATCTCTACAACTACTACCATGAACACATAACCCATTATGAACAATACTACTGCTATACCTAATAATAATTTGAAATGTCTGATATATTTTAAGATGGGCCATATCATTCATTTGATGTAGATTTTTGCATTTTAAGTGTGTTTCCTATTTTACTTTCTATATACACAGTGATGTAAGTACACAGTGATGTAAGCCTGATATTAGCAGCATCTCTTACCTTTAACAGTGAGTTTGATGTCACTGTGTTCTGTACCGTTGATTTGGCACCTGTACCACCCATCATCGTGTGAGAGGAGGACAGAGAGGTTCCCAGGAGAGGTGTTATTAAACATCTCCACTCTGCCTCGGTAGAGAGAATCCTGTGAGGGCTTGATTAATATCCCAGGCTGCTGTTCACCGTTGAATTTAGTCCATGTGCTGCTGTGAGGTCTAGCCTGGGGTTCAGTACATGAACAGGGCAGGAGAAGCGACTGGCCTGAGTAGACAGTGATCTCACCATAGTTAGTGACTAGCAGAGTGCAGCCTGTTGAAACACAAAACAACATAAGCCATAGTGTTTTTAATGTCAATGCAGGATTACAGAGCTCCATTAACACCATCAAATATGAGATATGTATGGTTAGTTACTGTATCAATAGATTATTTTGCGTTGATGGTCATTTTACAGTTTTGTCTTACTTTAAACAGCAATCCGCATATGTTGACTTTGGAACATCTACAGGTCTGAGATTTCATGACTTTTTGTAAAAAAAAAAATCTATGCTATAAAATATTGTTGTTAAACCATAAAACCAAGAAACCCATTTACATCTGTATTGAATAAAACTGACAAGCAACAATTTCTGTGTTGTGATTTCAGATTTACTGAACCATACAGTATATATTTTTAATCTGCAAGATATTCTGCTAACTTTCTATTTCTTAACACATGCCAGATGTTGTTTGAATACATTTCTCTGATACTTTTACTTATGCTGGGTAGGTGGGGGGTTTTCTTTGCAATAAATATGACATAGGCTACATGTTAGGATATTGTAGGACTCACCTGCAGTGATATGAAGGAAAGAGCTGATCAGACACAGAGATCCACATGGTGACTGTCTCTTGATGTTGAGAGATGATGTGAACCAAGATAGAGACTGTTTGTTCAGTGTGTATTATGTGTTAAAGGTTCAATGCAGCTGTTTTTATCTAATATCAAATCATTTCTGGGTAACAATTAAGTACCTAATAGCTGATTTATGGTAAATCTGGCGTCTGAAGTGGCCACACAGCATTTACGGCGATGGAGCCTCCGCAGAAGTCAGGGCATTCATACTTCTTATGCTTCGCAGAGCTGTTGTGAAGGAAGAATTCAAGGAAGTGAGTTTATGTTTATACTGGACGTACCACTACCGCCCCCACCTACTATCGACCAATCATGTCAATGTGCAGCTGTGCGGAGCCATCCGCATTGTTACAAAATTTGGGAGGCGCATGGCATCGCCGTACGGAGCTCGATTTGGCCTCCGCAAGCCTCCGGAGGCTCCGCAGTTGCGTCATACCCTCCATATGGAGCCTCCGCACCACATTGCCGGATCAAGCAAAGATCATGTTTTTACTGTGATTGTTTTCAATTAAAATGGTCAAAAAGACACATAAATAGCTTCTTAGCAAAGTGCAATTTCTCAAGCAAAATTCTTGCTTGAATTTTGCTAGGACTGTCTGGGAGTAGTCTGAGTAGGGAGGGAAAAAACTGAAAACTAGCTGTTATTGGAAGAGAGGTTTGGAACTCTATTTCTTATTGGTCTATCAACTAATTCACTGCCTGGTGACCAGGCGGGCCAAAATGCCATCCCACCAAAACAGACTGACATTTCAGGCAGCCTTTTTAAACAGCTCTAACACTAAAGGGGCATTATCATAATTTTCAGAATTGTACAATATTATTCCAAACCTCATAGTGTGGAAATATATATAAAACACAGGAAAATCACATTTTTGACTGCACTTGGCCTTTAAGAGACTGAATTTGACACCCTCCTCCCCCTGAGTGTTGACTCTGCAAATGGTATTTCTGTATGTGTGACTGTAGTCAGGGAAATAGGCTAGAGTGTATTAAGGCCGTCCTCCTCACTTCCTGACTCTCAGCCCACATCCAGTTCCAGGCTTCTCTAACAGGCCTCTCTGCTTCTCCTTTTCTCTAAATAGTAATATTCCAGTCATTAGAGTCAGCTATTCTCTGACTGAAATGTGTCTATGTAGGAGATGATTATCTGACAAGACAATTATCTTGCAGTGTAGTATTCGTAGTATGATGTAATGAGAGTTACTCGTACCTTTAATCAGTCCCTTTCTTGTGTGTGCGTGCGCGTGTGGACTTGTTCTTCTATCCTTGTGGGGACCTGAAATTCCCAAAAGTTCCCACAAAGATAGTTAAACAAGTAAAATTCTCCCTTGCAGAACCCTTTTTGGTTCCAGGTAGAACCGTTTTGGGTTCCATGTAGAACCCTCTGTTAAAAGGGTTCTACATTGAACCCAAAAGGGTTCTACCTGGAACTAAAAGGGTTCTATAAAGGGTTATCCTATGTGGACAGCTGAAGAACCCATTTAGGTTATAGATAGCACCTTTTTTTTTGTAAGAGTGTAGGGTTAGGTTTAGGTTTAGGTGTGAGGGTTAGGTTTAGGGTAAGGGTTAGGGTTAGGGAAAATTGGATTTTGAATGGAAATACATTTTAGGTCTCCATGAGGATAGAAAAACAAGTGTGTGTGTGTGTGTGTGCATGTGTTGCAGCCCCTAGGTCATCAGAGGGCAGGGCCGGCTTCAAGCATAAGCGACATAAGCGGTCGCTCGCCCGGGGCTCAGGACCATTTTTCAATTTTATTTTTACTTACTATTGAGAGTAAAAATAGTAGAATACACCAGGTGCAATTTCAAAATCTGGTTGTGCATCAGCAGCTTTTCTCTTGTTATATCAATCACTCAATTAGCTGACAATTAGCCATGTACATTTTTTGATTGGTAGCCAGCTATCTAAACTTGTAGTAATCACGGTCGAATACTGACCGGGCACGCAGGGCACGTGCACAAGGGCCCTGACCTCCAGGGGGCCACCATTGATTTTGTTTGTCATTCTCACGTAGATATCATTAACATGGCATAAGTCATGGCAAAATATGTAGCTTTAAAAGTGCAACAAAAATTAGCTCTACCCAATGGCAAAGTGGGTAGAATTGCAGAAAATTAGCTGTAAAACTGCAAAAAGAAATCTGAAGGTTTCTCTCCGACCCATGACAAAATGTGTAGAACTGCAAAATATGAACTTTAAAACAAAAATGTTTCTCCCTACCTTCAAGAGGGGGACCACTAAATTGTTTTTCTGCGAGGTGGGGGGCCCTCAACAAAATCTCGCTTGGGACGCCCACAAGGCTTGAGCCAGAAGGGGACCATTGGGCAATGCAATCATGGCCCTAGGGAGCTGAACAAGGCTGGGCTGAAGATGGGCACAGCTGAACTTTATGCAAATCTTCGGTTATATCACACGCGAGTAACCAATCGAAGCTCACCAGAGCTTCCAACCCCTACTGGATTGGCTGACAAAGGCTGTTGATACGTAGCACTACCTAGCATGCTTGTTAGCGCCCACATAAGGGTGAAGCTAGCATGGCTTGGCGAGTTACCGCTATATAGTAATTCTCAGCTGGAGCAATAGGATAAAGTGGCTCAGCTCTGCTCACCCTGACCAAAAGTTACACTTTGAGTATAGCAGGTTAAAAAATCTACTTATTTTGCGACGCCCCTACTGGAATTCTTGGTTGTTTTTAGTTTTTTTTAAATGTTGGTTGCCCGAAGATTATGGTCACTTACCCGAAAATATGAAGACAGTTGTTTACATGCAAAATTGCCATAACTTGTCAGTGTCTTAAGTCAGAATCCTCTAGAAGGGTTTTGACCTTATGACTACCAAGTATCCAAAGAGCCAAAAGTTTTTTTATGAATGTCTGCAAAAATAAAAATAAAATTCTCAATTATAACAATATTAATATGGCCGCCGGTCCACCCATCATGGGTCGTTGACTTAAATGGGAATGTCTGTTCTAGTGATTCTATTTCTATGGTTCTAATCCTTTAGAGTATCCAGGCGTCCAGTACTGTGCTAATTCTATGCTCCCAGAACCTGAAGGTCTCAGATAGGGTCAGAGAGTAGTTTGGCCAAAGAGGAACTCAAACCTTTTAACCCAATTCCTCTTTTAGCCTCCATACAGAGTTCTTATAGCTGAATATGATTGAAGTGGAGGAATAACAGACATGGTCCATGTTGGCTTTTTGAGGAAGGTAAGTACTATACAGGGAAGCAACAGCCGTCATCTGGGAAAAAACATAATCCTCATCTAGGAAAAAACATAATCCTCATCGCTGTATGTTCAATGCCTTTATTCAAGGACAAACATACATTTTATGTTGATATAGTTTTTTGCATTATTCTAATCTAATATACATTTTGATATGCTTTCAGCATATATAAGCGAATGAATCAAATACGGTAATTCCAAAACTACACTACTGTCATTTCAAACTCTTATTAAAACTTATTGGCAACAGGGTAGAATTATGATTTTTGGATGATGGTATTAACCATATTAACTTTTGCCTCTGGGGGTGCTCTTGAGCCAAAAGGGGTCCTCTATATAGGCCCACCTCCCCAAGTCCACGAGCAAAAGCATTGGCCTAAAGCTTTAATGTCTATATAGTATACCAACTTCCCCAACAATAACAACCACCATTAATAGGTTTAGTTGATGCAATAAATGAATGACAACTAAAAAATGTTTTTTTTTTCGTAATAAAGCAGCAAAATTGTATTCTACACAAAAATGACCATGCTGTAGCACTGTATCTGGTGAAAATGCCATTACCACTCCATTCATTGTATTGATAAGAAACCATAGCACATTTTGTTGATTTTGAACGCAGTCCATTTTCTGTACATAAAGTACATTTGTGTACAACAGACAATCAAGCATATCTAATATAATCTTACATGAAAGCAAACATACACTGCTCAAAAAAATAAAGGGAACACTAAAATAACACATCCTAGATCTGAATGAATGAAATAATCTTATTAAATACTGTTTTCTTTACATAGTTGAATGTGCTGACAACAAAATCACACAAAAATTATCAATGGAAATCAAATTTATCAACCCATGGAGGTCTGGATTTGGAGTCACCCTCAAAATTAAAGTGGAAAACCACACTACAGGCTGATCCAACTTTGATGTAATGTCCTTAAAACAAGTCAAAATGAGGCTCAGTAGTGTGTGTGGCCTCCACGTGCCTGTATGACCTCCCTACAACGCCTGGGCATGCTCCTGATGAGGTGGCGGATGGTCTCCTGAGGGATCTCCTCCCAGACCTGGACTAAAGCATCCGCCAACTCCTGGACAGTCTGTGGTGCAACGTGGCGTTGGTGGATGGAGCGAGACATGATGTCCCAGATGTGCTCAATTGGATTCAGGTCTGGGGAACGGCGGGCCAGTCCATAGCATCAATGCCTTCCTCTTGCAGGAACTGCTGACACACTCCAGCCACATGAGGTCTAGCATTGTCTTGCATTAGGAGGAACCCAGGGCCAACCGCACCAGCATATGGTCTCACAAGGGGTCTGAGGATCTCATCTCGGTACCTAATGGCAGTCAGGCTACCTCTGGCGAGCACATGGAGGGCTGTGCGGCCCCCCAAAGAAATGCCACCCCACACCATGACTGACCCACCGCCAAACCGGTCATGCTGGAGGATGTTGCAGGCAGCAGAACGTTCTCCACGGCGTCTCCAGACTCTGTCACGTCTGTCACGTGCTCAGTGTGAACCTGCTTTCATCTGTGAAGAGCACAGGGCGCCAGTGGCGAATTTGCCAATCTTGGTGTTCTCTGGCAAATGCCAAACGTCCTGCACGGTGTTGGGCTGTAAGCACAACCCCCACCTGTGGACGTCGGGCCCTCATACCACCCTCATGGAGTCTGTTTCTGACCGTTTGAGCAGACACATGCTGCTGGAGGTCATTTTGCAGGGCTCCTCCTGCTCCTCCTTGCACAAAGGTGGAGGTAGCAGTCCTGCTGCTGGGTTGTTGCCCTCCTACGGCCTCCTCCACGTCTCGTGATGTACTGGCCTGTCTCCTGGTAGCGCCTCCATGCTCTGGACCCTATGCTGACAGACACAGCAAAACTTCTTGCCACAGTTCGCATTGATGTGCCATCCTGGATGAGCTGCACTACCTGAGCCACTTGTGTGGGTTGTAGACTCCGTCTCATGCTACCACTAGAGTGAAAGCACCGCCAGCATTCAAAAGTGACCAAAACATCAGCCAGGAAGCATAGGAACTGAGAAGTGGTCTGTGGTCACCACCTGCAAAACCAGTCCTTTATTGGGGGTGTCTTGCTAATTGCCTATAATTTCCACCTGTTGTCTATTCCATTTGCACAACAGCATGTGACATTTATTGTCAATCAGTGTTGCTTCCTAAGTGGACAGTTTGATTTCACAGAAGTGTGATTGACTTGGAGTTACATTGTGTTGTTTAAGTGTTCCCTTTATTTTTTTGAGCAGTGTATTATATTCAGCACTGAGGACAATAGTTAATCTAGGATTTTCCAGAGGCATTTGACATTCTGATTCTTAAATGTCTTACCTCTTGGTGTCTAGTTGTGTGCGTCGTGGTTCTCACAGGGGTGAAAGTATTCGCTAATGTATTAAAAACGGCACTTTGCCGCTTAACAATTCCAATGACTGCAACTGGATTCTCTAAATGTAGTTTTTTTTTTTTTTTTTTTACATCACACGGGGGCTGGTTGCAAAACGTGTTGATATTGTTTTAGTTTGAGCCCAATAGATAATACAATATTCTTTATATTTTTTTACATTAGGGTTAGGATTTAGGGTTAGCCATTGTTTTTCATGTCAAAGTTTGACGGGATTAGGCTTGAGCTAATCCTTGATCTCTCTTGGTTTAGTCAGTCTTTTATTATGTGTTCAATCAATATGCAGAATAAACAGCATTGAACAAATGACAAATGCTTTGTAAGCGCTCATCCATATTACATGATAATCAATAACACACATGCTGATCAATAACAAAGTATATTCATAGTACTCAACCTAAAAGTTGATGTGATAGTTATGCAATGCAGACAAATAGTAATCTTCTTTGAGGTTAATGTCTCTTGATTTTGTATGATTCCCAACCCCACCCAATAAAAGACTCAGGGTGTATCAAGATAGATTTTACTCAACAACCACCAGTTAAACATTTGTTATAATAGGACGAAGTGAGATTCGTCTTTTGTTCTATATTCCTTCAAAAAAACATACTTTCATAAAGGTCAGACCTTCAATGGATTCACGTAGGGCAGGTTTCTCTTTTTTTGCATTTTCATTGTTGGACATAAAAGACTAAAAACACCAGGAAATCAGCTCCAAGTGATTTTAATTTTGGAAATCTGTTCCCAAGTATTCCCACGCTAAATAGAGAGACACGTAATAGTATACAAATGTAATCAAGGTTTGAAATGATTATGTTTTAGTCAAATATATGTTTGTGATTCTTGCGGTCAATTTGCAGTCTACAAATGATTTGTAATTATGTTCTGGCCCCCCCGACCATCCGCTCAAGAACAAAATTGTCCCGCGGCTGAAACTAGTTGATGATCCCTGACGTAGGGTAAAGTGTTCTGAAGTATATGATTTAATGTAGTAAAAAGTAAGAAGAAACTGTGTTACAGGTTGGCCATCAAGAGGACATCCTCAACTTGAGGACTTTGTTCAGGTAGCCTAGGCTACTCTCGGCTCCCATTTACTGAGCAGTTAGAACGTCTCAGCCCTGAAACCTTGAGTTGAGTTCATTAAGGCATGCAACAAAATTATTTATTTTAAACGTTTTGCAACAGAAAACGAAAAAAATACAGTTTCATTTTGGACAAGTCCAGGTAGCCCCTCCCTGTTTCAGTCCGTTTTCCTACATTTGATGCCTAATGAACACGACCCTGCTCATCCTCAGGTCACACCAAAATGGCTTCTGATTCGTGATCGATCGATGGTCTGCGTGTCGTCTTCACAATCAATGAACAAGCAGCAAGTCAACTTTTGAGTGAATGGAATGTCAACAACTATGTTCCACATAGCTACTGTATGTCCTCGAAAGGCATTGGCTCAGTCTCCTCCTTGTTTTCCTAAATGAACTCCAGACCCTCATACTTCACGTCTCCTATCTTGGTTTCAGGTAACAGGATCTGGCCGTCCAGTGTGAATGCCATGATGTACGAGGCGATTTTCCCAGCGTCCTCCTCCGACTTGAGAGCCACGACGATCTGATCGTCCGTGTTCGGGACAAACTTGAAGGAGGAGAAGCCGTGCGTGGGGTTGTGCGGGCCCACCCGGTTCACGGTGACGTCCTCGAAGTCCGGCGAGCAGCTGAGGACGAGGTTGGTGGCGCGGCGCTCGTCGGCCGTCTCATCGTAGCGCTCTTTGCTAGCGCGGCGTGGGAGGAAGAACCAGCGCTGCAGGCTGTCGCTCCACGCGGCCGACTCGTGGATCAGGTAACCTGGGGACAGAATGTCATGAGAATCTGAATATCATAAAGAATGCTAATAGTTTGCATGGATAGCATATACAGTTAGAGTTAACACAGTTAGCATAGCTTTTGCAGTTAACGTTAGCATTTGCAACCCTGCAGCTCTCACCTGGAGGTTCGATCCCAGCTGCGGACCTCAGGAGGTTGTACTTGGGGACCCAGTTCTGGTGCTGCACGTCACCCCGATGGCCCACCACCTTTACCCACTCTGGGTTGTTGTTGACTACCTCCCCCGTGGTGGTGGTCCACTCTTTCCCCAGGCCACCCACGTACAAGTGCTCGTCCTTCACCGCTAGCCACTCGGCCTTGAACCCTGACAGAGGGAAACAGAGGGTCATGGGGACACACGTCAATATTTTATGATTCACTGAACTACTGTACAGACCTTTTGAATGCACTAAAGAGTAAAAAGTAGTTAAGAGAAATATACTCTCTCACTTGTGGCTCACTTGTGGCTTATAAAGGACACATACACTGAGTGAACAAAACATTAGGAACACCTGCTCATTCCATGACATAGACTGACCAGGTGAATCCAGGTGAAAGCTATGATCCCTTATTGATGTCACTTGTTAAATCCACTTCAATCAGTGTAGCTGAAGGAGAGGAGACATGTTAAAGAAGGATTTTTAAGCCTTGAGACATTTGAGACATGGATTGTGTATATGTGCCATTCAGAGGGTGAATGGGCAAGACAAAAGAATGAAGTGCCTTTGAATGGGGTATGGTAGTAGGTGCCACAGGTTTGTGTCAAGAACTGCAACGCTGCTGGGTTTTTCATGCTCAACAGTTTCCAGAGTGTATCAAGAATGGTCCACCACCCAAAGGACATCCAGCCAACTTGACACAACTGTGGGAAGCATTGGAGTCAACATTGGCCAGCATCCCTGTGGAACGCTTTTGACAACTTGTAGAGTCCATGCCCCAATGAATTGAGGCTGTTCTGAGGGCAAAAGAGGGTGCAATTCAATATCAGGAAGGTGTTCTTAATGTTTTGTACACTCAGTGTTTACAAATGAGAACGCGATCCAACAAATTCCATTGCCAAGGTCGTGGTCTACCCCAGATGAGGTTCTTCAACACACCCCTTCGAGTAACTAAGCAGATTAAATTCCAAATCTGCCTGCCTGGTCTACACAGTGAGACACTCACACAATCCCAAATCGACCCCTAACCCCTACTCCATATTCACTTATGGAGATCTGAGAGGATTAAATAGGTGTAAGCAATATGGTGAAAATTCCATCTACCCTATCAGAAGCAAGGTGAAGCAATTACCATATAGCTTATACCTATTCAATCCTCTCAGATCTACAGGAGTGCCTAAGAAGAATGGGTTAGGGGTCGATTCAGCACTTTAATTTGGCCCATCTGCCTCACTGACCTTTGGAGACGGAGCCGTCCCCGTCGGGGAGGATGACCCAGGGCACAGCCTTGCTGCCGTCGATGTGGTAGACCACGCCCGTTCGGTCGTCCACGCTGTACAGCTTCCCGTTGAACACCACCAGCTCTGACAGCTCCATGCCCCGGCCCTTCTCCGCCCAGGTGGCTCTCCAGCAGCACCCTCTCCGCGTCCCATTCCACGGCCACCTTGTTGCCGCTCTCTGACACCAGCAGGTGGCCCTGGCGCATGTAGCTGAACCACGTCAGCTTCTTGTCGCTGCGAGAGTCCGTGTCCAGGTCGGCAATCACCCCTATGCGGTAGCGCGTTCCCTGCGCCGTCCGCTCGGGGGTGCTGAGCGGGTAAGTGTCATTGTAGCGGTCGGCCACCTCGCTCACAGCCATCCCCATGTGGCCGGACTTCCAGTTGCGGGAGCTGGGGGCCTGGGAGTGGGAGCCTGGGTTCAGGTGCATGTAGAGGAGGACCAGGGCCAGGGACAGGGCCAGGGCCAGGGCTACGATGGCCCTCAAATTTAGGCGGAATCTGGAGTCCGTGGTGTTGGTCATGGAGGCCAACATGGGAAGTCCTCCGACTGAGATGCGCAGGGGGTTCATAGACGGATCATTCTGGTCCAGTTGGGTGTAGCCTGGGGAAACAGGCATGGGGGAGGGACCTGAAAGGTTAGAGAGAGGAGAATGGAGGGGTCAGAGGTCTGATTTTTGAGGGAGAAGTTGTGCTCCTCAGCACCGGGAGAATCGCAATTGCATTTCCTTGATTCCTCATGTCCTCTCTCCTCGCCACCCACTCACCTCACTTCACATACACTAGTATTGTAGTTATGACTTAGGACTAGATCCTTTAGACAATCAGTGTTGCAGTGTCTCATGACTCTAAATCATCATGCTTATCACAGTGCCATTTTGAGTGACATATAGCAGCTTTAGAATCTGACGGCACTATGTCAACCCCACAACCGTTGAATACCTCCTTGAAGACGCCACATGGATTAGGTGTTTTGATTGAACATTTATGTTAAGTCTTTCACAAGAGACTACTGTAATATCATTTCCATCAGTGAAACACCAAATCAGAGCATAGACATTCATAAAAAATATATTATGTGTGAGATTTCACACCAGACAACAGTATACAATACACACCAGCTTCATTCAGATCCAGCTTGCCTGTAAATAATCTCTGCTCACATGTTCAGCCAACGACGTCCTTCTTCAAGCCTAACCTCTTTCCATATATCAGACCACTGAAACAACACTAGCTTTCAGATCCTGAAGAGAATGTCTATGTACAACCAATGAGCATCCCACAGATCAGCTCTGCTGTGAAGGAGGAAGAAGTGGTAGCTACAGGTGAGACCAATAGAAGCTGGCCACAGGTGTGCAGGCAGTGTGTGTCGACGTGGAGCCTGGGAGTGGCCCATTCAGGGACATAAAATGGGACAATATGTGGTGGTGAACAGGTAAAGCAGGAAAGGTAGCAAGTAGGCACCCGGAAACCACCCCACAACCTTGCCACTCAAAACCACACTCTCAGTCAGATGAGGGTGTTCAAAAACTAACCTACTTTTAGAATAATTTGTCCAACAATCGGTCAACAGGTAGAGTAGAATCTTTATTATCCCAGAGGGGCCTAATCTTAGTAGCAAATCTCATGTGTGTTTACCAGATACTCAATCAACATCACTCATGAGAGAGATAGCCAACAGGCGACAGAATAAGGCAATGCAATCCTGCCTACGTTTTGGTATATCTAAATAAGAAACTGATTGCCCCAGCATTATCGGTGGCTTTTGTTGATAGTATCTGGCTCCATGCATCTGAAAAAATAAATTCTACACTCAATGTAGCCTAAATCTTGCCTGACGGCTCAAACTGAATTATTCCGCTGCTCTGTTCGCTATATATTCTTCAGTCTGAGACTGGCATCGTTTACGTCGTTTGTGGTGACGTCAAAATGAGGGGTGTTGAACAAAACAAAGTAATCCGCCATTGGATCATCTCTAACCAATCAGAGTAGCAAAGCCAATGACGAATTTTCAAACCTCTGCTTTACTCACGAGTGTTCTGACTCTGGCCCAACTCATTGGTTTCTGGGACCAATCAGAACTGTTAGAATGTTTTTAGTTCTGTCCTTGTCTATTAATGTTCTGTATTATTTCATGTTCTGTGTGGACCCCAGGAAGAGTAGCTGCTGCTTTTGCAACAGCTAATGGGGATCCTAATAAATACCAATACCAAATACCATTCTAGAAATCGTCATGGGAGGTACTCAGATCTAGACTCATTGCGGAGAAGAAACAAATGTCTGTGGGCGTGGCGTAGCATTTGCCCGGAGTAAGGAGTTTGAGTAGCCACGCAAGCCTAAATGTTAACTGAAAAATCTCAAATGTGAATCGGGGTGAAAGGCAGCATCGGCATCGAATGAAACATCTATTTTAAACGCGCTCTCAGAAATACACCAACATGTGCGCCCTAAAAATATTTTATTTGTGACCTCGGTTCCAGGAGCGACGCATCCTGTGACCAGGGCATCATTTCTCTAAAGCCAGCAGCAGCAGCCCCTCTTCTGCTCAAAGGCTCTTTCATACCAGGGCTGTAACCAGGGCCCCCGGCCACACAGAACTCCATTATGACACCCTGAGGCCCTCTGCTCTGTGGCAGACTGTCCTCTCTGGCATGCTAGTCTAACACACATACACACAGGCATGCACACAGCAGCTGGTTGAAACTAAATCACCAGAAAACAGATTGTTGTTTGTGCACCCACACTAAGAAGTGCCTGAGGTCCGAGCATGTAGGTTCACAAACACACGGCATCCATTACAGGGTAAGGTATCTGTGATGGATGGAATCCCAACTAGAGACTACAGAGACATCACACACTATAGAACATATTTCCAACATGTCTCTCCTCTAGCCTGGTCCCAGATCTGTTCAATAGAACATATTTCCAACATGTCTCTCCTCTAGCATGGTCCCAGATCTGTTCATATTTCCAACATGTCTCTCCTCTAGCCTGGTCCCAGATCTGTTCATTAGAACATATGTCCAACATGTCTCTCCTCTAGCCTGGTCCCAGATCTGTTCAATAGAACATATCTCCAACATGTCTCTCCTCTAGCCTGGTCCCAGATCTGTTCGGGCTCTATAGCAAACTCCTATGATCGTTGTCATGCCATACATAGGAGTAGGTGAAGTATAGGAAAAACAGCACAAACTGATCTGGGACCAAGCTACCTCTTCTCCATATAGCACCTCACAACAAACTCCTCAAATCACAGAGTCAAAGGGCCGTGCAGGATCTGCCGTCACTGAAACAAACAAGAGCTGTGGTGGTATGGAGTTACCCTTTCTCCTCCTCCGTCCTGAACGCTGGACGACTGTCATCTCAATTCCACATCCACGCCTCGTTCCATACTGTCAGTTCTGTAACCTCTAGTCTGGCCTCGTTCCATACTGTATGTTCTGTAGCCTCTAGTCTGGCCTCGTTCCATACTGTCAGTTCTGTAGCCTCTAGTCTGGCCTCGTTCCATACTGTATGTTCTGTAGCCTCTAGTCTGGCCTCGTTCCATACTGTATGTTCTGTAGCCTCTAGTCTGGCCTCGTTCCATACTGTATGTTCTGTAGCCTCTAGTCTGGCCTCGTTCCATACTGTCAGTTCTGTAGCCTCTAGTCTGGCCTCGTTCCATACTGTATGTTCTGTAGCCTCTAGTCTGGCCTCGTTCCATACTGTATGTTCTGTAGCCTCTAGTCTGGCCTCGTTCCATACTGTCAGTTCTGTAGCCTCTAGTCTGGCCTCGTTCCATACTGTATGTTCTGCTGACAACGTTTCTATAATTCAACATGACAACGAATGATAGGCTAAAGAGTTGGCTACAGAACATACAGTATGGAACGAGGCCAGACTGACATCATTCTCTATAAGGATATAGCAAGCATTTCTGAAACTGTCTGTTTGAGATACAAGTTTGAGGTGGGTTTTTTAAAGGTATTTTTCTTCAATTTATGCTTTGGCCACAAATACGAGTATAGGATGAGTCAACAACATTATTTGGGTATGAGGTAACAGAATATGAACTTTTAAAAGTGAGATTTTCAAATAAATATGAATTTGAGAATTTCACCCATCTCAGGATAAAGCAATGGAGAAAGTTAGTTACACACAGATATCGGTTCTAATTGTAAACCACTCAGTCTCTTAGCAGATTTTCAAAGAAAGGCAACGTGCATAAACGGTCTTCAACAGCCATATAATGGACTTTCGAGCAACAAAGTCCATTAGGTTATATGCCATTAAAGGACACAGGTGTGTCAAGACCATAAATGGTTGACTGTGACTGCTGTAGGGCAGGGGTTGCAGAATGAGCATAGCCTAACTGTTTTCTGCCTTTCAACTGAGCATACCATGTGATGGTACCTGCTGGTAGCAAATTCAGGGGTAGCCCTGACCAGGACTCGAACTCTGGTCCAGCTACTCAACAATTTAGCTGTTAGGCCTAGAGATCCGAACCTCTTGACGAGGTCGCTAGGTCATTAACCTAGGGTAGCAACATTGGTACATTGTGGGAGGCATCCCGTCTGTCTAGAGACTACTAGGTGATTGGTTAAGGTCACTACAATAGGTAGGCCTAGTTGTTTCAAGTTCTTTTTGATTGCCATAGTTTATGCATTTACATTGTTTTGAATTCATTCTGCTGTGGATAAATGGTGTATGACAATATTCACATTCAAGCATTCACTAATCAAAGTAAGTCTATATCTTCCTACTGATGTATCACCTGGTCTTTTGCATTCCTGCATTTATAAATGACAAGACACTGTTTTTACCTACAGTGCTGTGATCATGTGGTTGGTTTATAATGGGTTTTACAACAGTGTTGGACTGGCAGACTTCTACTGGTATTGCACCTGTATGATAACGTCCCCTACAGTGAGCACTGAGCAACGCTGGTGGACGACAGATACACTACATGGCCAAAAGTATGGACACCTGCTCGTCCAACATCTCATTCCAAAGTCATGTGCATTAATAAGGAGTTGGTCACCCCTTTGCTGCTATAACAGCCTCCACTTTTCTGGGAAGGCTTTCCACTAGATGTTGGAACATTGCTGCAGGGACTTGCTTCCATTCAGCCACAGGAGCATTAGTGAGGGTCGGGCACTGATGTTGGGCAATTAGGCCTGGCTCGCAGTCGGCGTCCAATTCATCCCAAAGGTGTTCAATGGGGTTGAGGTCAGAGCTCTGTGCAGGCTAGTCAAGTTCTTCCACACAGATCTCAACAAAGCATTTCTGTATGGACCTCGCTTTGTGCACAAGGGCATTGTCATGCTGAAACAGGAAAGGGCTTTCCCCAAACTGTTGCCACGAAGTTGGAAGCACAGAATTGTCTAGAATGTCATTGTATGCTGTAGCACTAAGATTTCCCTTCACTGGAACTACGGGGCCTAGCCCGAACCATGAAAAACAGCCCTAGACCATTATTCCTCCTCCACCAAACTGGCACTATGCATTGGGGCATTACTGTTCTCCTGGCATCTGCCAAACCCAGATTCGTCCATCGGACTGCCAGATGGTGAAGCGTGATTAATCACTCCAGAGAACATGTTTCCACTGCTCCAGAGTCCAATGGCGGCGAGCTTTACACCACTCCAGCCGATGCTTGGCAATGTGCATGGTGATCTTAGGCTTGTGTGACACTGTTCAGCCATGGAAACCCATTCCATGAAGCTCCCGACAAGCATTTCTTGTGCTGACATTGCTTCCAGAGGCAGTTTGGAACTTGGTAGGGAGTGGAGTGTTGCAACCACATGCTATGTGCTTCAGCACTCGGCAGTCCCCCTACCACTTCGCAGCGGAGCCATGCTCCTAGATGTTTCCACTTCACAATAACAGCACTTACAGGGGCAGCTCTAGTAGGGCAGAAATTTGACAATTGACTTGTTGGAAAGGTGGCATCCTATGACGGTGCCACGTTGAAAGTCACTGAGCTCTCCAGTAAGGCCAATCTACTGCCAATGTTTGTCTATGGAGATTGCATGGCGGTGTGCTCGATTTTATACAGCAATGTCAGCAACGGGTGTGGCTGTAATAGCCGAATCCACTAATTTGAAGGGGTGTCCACATACCTTTGTATATATACTGTATTTTAAAACACATGTCAACTCGAGCCTCCATCACCGCACTACCGACAGATTAGTGAGTAGGCCTAATTCGAACACGAAAAAGGGAAGTACATGTGACAACATATGAGCGCTCCTGCTTAACTAGGATATGTTCTAGAATTGTCGGATAATATTGAATAAAGGCTACACGAAGCTTCATGAATGTTAGAACGATACTCACTACAAGTGATATGTCGCCAAATGATAGTCCGATAATGGTTTGATAAGCCACAACACAGCTTCGTTTAAATCTAGGCTACAGTGTTTTGTCTCCATCGTTCGCATCATCAGGGAAACCATGGGCTACTTCCTTGTTCAGTGACACTATAAAATAAGTCCCGCCCAGTCAGCGAAAACTACCTAGCCTACGAATTGAAACGCATTCAGGATTACTATGCGCTGCTTGCGTAAACTGTGGATGAAAGTGTTACAATGTTGCAGTTGTTTGCAACATTGTGACTTTCATTGCAATGCAGGTGCAACAGAACATCTAAAACCATTGGCCGTGTTTGAGAGGATCAAAAATCGTATTGTAACTGGGTAAATTAAGACTGACTGATGAGTAGTTATTTATGATTCAAGGTTTTTGTAGATCAGTCAGTCGGTAGTCGCCTGCAATGTCGAAGAAGCTCATGTCCATGATTGCAGTGACGGTGCAAGACTACAAATGCTACTCACTGTATGTTAGTAGTGAAAGGTTCCTGGCATTGACAAACATAGAAAAATTAACAAGAGTCATGGGATGTTTACGTTGCACAATGTCTGTGTTTTCAGTAAGCTCAGCGTCCAATGTGAAACATAATAACTAGAGGTGACACACAGGGCCCACCCAGAGAGAACACAAATCGCCTTACTAGTTCTAGTAGTAAACCTTATTTATATACTTTTCACCAGCTCCTTTACTCTTCCTCCTTAGCGGCTGCTCAAATATTTGCCTTTGGAATACACCCTTTTGAAAAAAATACAAATACATGGACAGTCTGCAAACGGGAAAAGTCTTTATTTGGCAAAGGTGTGGTAGGTTTTTATATAAGGCACTTTGTGCAAGAGACTGCAAAGCCTCTCAGTACAATCTTGAAACCCAAGACAGAGAGCATAATAAGTGGTGAGAACACTTCATCAGAGAGGGCGTGAATAAATTAGCTTGTACCATATATGTCGTTTTTGATGAAGGTTCTTAGTCTGGTATGGAAGTGATTGTCACGTCCAGGAGGATTAAAAGGCATAGGAGGTCATTTACAAAACAATTTTCAATCGAATACCATCACAATGCTGCCTGAGGAAGACTAGTAGTCAAAACACGTTGCAGTTGTGCGTCCTAATGTAGTATGCTGACTGCTCCCATATGTATTATTTTGTAAATATATTCTGTTAATAGTTTATTGCAACGTACTGGCCACCTACTCGTCTTCTTTGAATGGAATACCATTACAATTCAATATACTGTATATATTACCTATTAGATGGTATTTTGTTAAACTCATCTATGAGAATTCTGATATGAGTTTGTCCGAAAAGGTGTGTGCCGGGGAAAAGAACACTCCAGAACTGAATAAAACCTTTCCAAGGCACGTCCGGGAATAGATGAAGTTTGGAGGCAAACAAGTTGAGGAGAGGGCCTTCCTGATACTAAACAACACACACCCTCGTTTACCAAATATATTACACACTTGTTTGAAACTACAATAAAACATTTTTTTTTGAAAAAGGGTTAACATGACCTGGGAGCAGGGAAATTACATTAAAATGAAAAAAATACATAACACATTTGCTATCCAATGCACACAAGAAAAACTTTACGGCTGGTTTCCCGGACCAAGATTAATAAACCTATTCCTGGACGAAAATCTACTTTTAATGGAGATTTTCCATTAAGCGTAAGTCCAGGAGTAGACTTAAACTGGGCGCGGAAAATTGGCCCTAGTGAGTTTAGTGGTTGTTTTTAAAGCACTGATATACAGTAGTTGTTAAGGGTAGCATTTTTCAGACAATGCACCCATTATTGGGATAAACAAAGTATGGGTTTGCAGAGAAAATAAACAGAAACAGTACGCATTTGTCAATAATTTAGCAATACACTTGATTTCTAAATATATGGCAATTAGTTCTGATATCCTGGGCTGGCTATAACTTTGAACTACATTGAAATTCTCAAAAGGTATTTGTATATGCACTATACCATATAACTGGATTAGGCAGCATAGAAAAATAACTTTTTGTGTCCATAGCATAGCATAGCCTCATTATTTGCAATCCAAAGCAACGTTCCCAGCCCCAGCGACATATGTTTTAGTGTTTTGATCTGAACTTCAGTGTCCACATGACTGCATTACATATGTTTCAAGACAAACAGTACAGAGAAGAACAGAAACATAACATATGACAGTTACCTCAAGTGAATCTCATATTTTTCCATGGCATTCTAGGTTTTACCCTAGTAACAGTTTTCCTTAGATTCTACCTGAAGCTCAGCTCAGGCACTCTAGTTGTATGTATAAAAATGCAGCAAAATATCCATTCACAACCTAAACTACAATATGAATACCAACTTAAATCATGTCAACACACCCTTCATTATGCAAGCGCAACACCAGCTATGACTTAAACAGTTAGGTAAAGGAGGGGACCAGTGGAGTGCAGAGATCAGTCCACATAGCTGAGGCACCATAGCCTGGTCCCAGATCTTTTTGTGTTTGGTATGACAATGACTATAGGAGTTGGCAAGACAGCATAAACAGATCTGGAACCAGGCTACAGGCACCAATGGCAACTTAAAAACATCCTCCCCCCAAATCTGGTCAATGGCTCAGTCCCTCAGTAAGACGGGGGCTGGTATGGTGCTGGATGCTCTTGGTTTTGGGGGGTGAAAGGGGACTGCTGGTAGCCCTCTGGCCCACTGGTGGGGTATGCGGGATAGGCGGAGGTGGCTGGGTAAGGGGTGCTGTAGTCATTGGCTGGGTCTGTGTAGCCCAGGTCAATGTCACTCACTCCTTGGCGGTATCTTGTATGAGCAAATGTAGTCAATAGAGCCTGTGAGAGAGGAAAGATTGGTAAATACGTTTTTTTAAATCCCATAACGTGTCACAAAGTGCTTATACAGAAACCCAGCCTAAAACCCCAAACAGCAAGCAATGCAGATGTAGAGCATTATGTGCATGTTACAATTACTGCCAGAGAGTGCTATGTGTAAGCTAAGTAGAATATTCTAGAATGCCTGGTGTGCTGCCGCATGCACACTTGATAGCTGGACAAGAGACAGAGTAATGAATCCTGACTGGCAGCCTCATCAGTGATTAGCCTCTCTCTGTAGTTATATGTGAATGTGTCTGAAATGCTATGCTACAGTATCTAAGCTAGGTACAGTTCCAAATGTATAGCTGTATTATCACTGTTAATTTGTACATGTATTCTCCTTCCTTATAGAACCACAAAGATTACTTCTATGTTGTGTGTGTGTGTGTGTGTGTGGTGGTGACCAAGAGATAGTAAACCTCTGGATATGGACACATCTGCCTTGTTCTTGCCTGACAGCCTGTAGCGAGACACAACCCTAACAATCAGCATTAATTACTAGCGGGTTCACTGCCAACCGCTCAGACGAGCTCCAGCTAGCAGTTTCAAATAGAGAGAGACAGAGAGAGCAAAAGAGAGAGAGAGCAATAGAGAAAGAGAGGAGAGAAAGAGGGATATAGAGAGAGAGGAGAGAAAGAGGGATAGAGAGAGAGAGCAATAGAGAAAGAGAGGGGGGAGAGAGAAAGAGGGATAGAGAGCAGCTCACCCAAGTGACAATGGAGAAGAAGGAGAAGGCCACTACAGCTCGGGCGGCGTCGGCAGAGATCTCTACTGCTTTGGTGGTGTGAGACCACTGATTGGCCAGGACACAGAAGCAGATGAACCAGAACAACGTCCACACTCCTGACAGGAGACAGAGGAGGGAAAGTAAAGGTTATGTTAACACTTCCTACGAATACCCGCTTCATATTGCATTATAAGTGCATTTATAACGCCTTATGAGCAATGCGTAATGCATTACAATGCACAACACTATGAGTGTAGTTATAGATGTTTATAAGCAGTGCACCTTTAGTACCTATGTCGTTAAGTATAGTGAATTATGCATGGCATATAAGGCATTATAAACCTGTTTGTAATGCATTATTAGGAAGCTAGGCTATTCATAGGAAGTGTTGGCAAGATTATCGTTAAAAAATCTGACCAGAAGTGTCAGTTCTGGGTGCCAAACTACAGCCTTACAGATTTAGCATTGGAAGTATCACCAAAAAAATCCCCCTAACCGGAGAAGATCAAATCGCCAGTGACAATGTTCTTCCTCTCTTTAGCGTTGCTGATCTGAGGGAAGTAGGCGTCCAGAACGATGAAGATGACGCAGGCGAGAAAGGCCAAAATTCCGATACCCACTCCGAAGCCGCAGGCGCTATCATTCCCGTTGAACATGCATTCGGCGTCAGGTTTGTTCGGAGGGTTGACATAGCCTTCTCCAGTGATCGTCGCAAACACCACTATGGAAAAGAGCTGAAAATACAAAAACATGTCTGTTAGAACACCTTGGGGTCCGTCACATAGGCCTATAATCTTATTATCATATAAGACACGTTGTACTAGGTGTAGCACAGTGTTAGTTAGAAAACCTGTAACCAATCACATGGTGAAATACAAAATTACAGTATGCCCTGGGGGAAAAAACATGAAAGGTAATGTCTGGAGGGATGGGTAACGGTAGAGGATAACTTCAGGGGGAGTGTGTTCGAGTTCAAGTTTTATTGTCACATGCACAAGTACAGTGAAATGTTTAACTTTCATCAAAAAATAATTTAATTTAAATATGCCATTTAGCAGACGCTTTTATCCAAAGCGACTTACAGTCATGCGTGCATACATTTTTTGTGTATGGGTGGTCCCGGGGATCGAACCCACTACCTTAGCGTTACAAGCGCCGTGCTCTACCAGCATCACTACAGACCCGGGTTCGATCCCAGCCTGTGTTGCAGCCGGCCGTGACCAGGAGACCCATGAGGAGGCGCATAATTGGCCCAGCGTCGTTGGGGTTAGGGGAGGGTTTGGCCGGCCGGGATGTCCTTGTCCCATCGCGCTCTAGCGACTCCTGTGGCGTGCTGGGCGAATGCACACTGACTTCGGTCGCCAGTTGTAAAGTGTTTCAAGGTGAATATAGGAGAAACGTGATCAGTTGTGCACTTATTATTATTTATTTTTTTAACTTGGATCATCATTGAAAAACGTGGGAGTAGTTTTGTGTGTGTGTGGTCCCCTAAGTGGCTGATATCTGGGGCTCTGGCCCAGGGGTTTAATGTCATGCACTCCACACCAACATGGCGGCTCTGCACAGGCTTTGACCTAACGCTTTATGAAGCCAACCTTTAGCGGATGTGGACAGCCTTATGAAGCCGACCTGTAGTGGATGTGGGCAGCATTATGAAGCCGACCTGTAGTGGATGTGGACAGCCTTATGAAGCCGACCTGTAGTGGATGTGGGCAGCATTATGAAGCCGACCTGTAGTGGATGTGGGCAGCATTATGAAGCCGACCTGTAGTGGATGTGGCCAGCCTTATGAAGCCAACCTGTAGTGGATGTGGACAGCATTGTGAAGCCGACCTGTAGTGGATGTGGACAGCATTGTGAAGCCGACCTGTAGTGGATGTGGACAGCGTTATGAAGCCGACCTGTAGTGGATGTGGACAGCATTATGTGGAACTTCCATCCTCTCAGGCCAGGGGCACAATGTATGAATTTATGGTTAGATCAGAATTACCGGCCTCCCGAATGGCGCAGCGGTCTAAGGCACTGCATCGCAGTGCTAGAGGCATCACTACAGACCCGGGTTCGATCCCAGCCTGTGTTGCAGCCGGCCGTGACCGGGAGACCCATGAGGAGGCGCATAATTGGCCCAGCGTCGTTGGGGTTAGGGGAGGGTTTGGCCGGCCGGGATGTCCTTGACCCATCGCGCTCTAGCGACTCCTGTGGCGTGCTGGGCGAATGCACACTGACTTCGGTCGCCAGTTGTAAAGTGTTTCCTCCGACACATTGGTGTGGCTTCCGGGTTAAGCGAGCAGTGTGACAAGAAGCAGTGCGGCTTGGCAGGTTCGTGTTTCAGAGGACGCGTGGCTCTCGACCTTCGCCTCTCCAGAGTCCGTACGGGAGTTGCAGCGATGGGACAAGACTGTAACTACCAATTGGATATCATGAAAAAGGGGTAACAAATATTTGGTTCAGAATCACTGTTATAATCATTGGCCAGTACGGAGAAAGCCACAAGTCCAAATCCCTATTTCCATCCATGGCTAATTTAGGAAAGGGATTATTTTAGCTAGCTAGCCACCGGAGGACAACGGCACAACGACTTGCAACAATTCAAGTTTTTTTTCTGTCAATTACTTTTGGTTAGTGTGAAGCCAAATCCAAACTGGCTTCCCTTGCGTGTGCCAGGACCATTCACAGTTGAGCTCAATGCTGATTGACTATTACTTTATTTTATTACCTTGCATTCAATGATATGGCCGGCAACAATGTAATACTCTTTTTGACCAGACAGCATCATATAGATGGCCTACATTTTAGTCATTAATTTTTCACACTGGCGCCCCGTGGGAATTGAACCCACAACCCTGGCGTTGCTAACGCCATGCTCTACCAACTGAGCTACATCCCTGCCGGCCATTCCCTCCCCATACCCTGGACGACACTGGGCCAATTGTGCGCCGCCCCATGGGTCTCCCGGTCGCGGCCGGCTACGACAAAGCCTGGATTCGAACCAGGATCTCTAGTGGCACAATTTTCATTCAATTCGTAAGCGCCTTAGACCACTGTGCCACTCGGGAGGATGCTTTCTCTGGTGAGATACATTTAGCCACTTACGAATTGAATGAAAATTGTGAGAGAGACGAAAGATAAATTATTTTCTTTGTTTCTTGGTCAATTTTTTGGGGAAGCCTGGCTTCCCTTAGCATCCATGAATACATGCCACTGTTGGACAGCTTACGACATGGGTGTCTCATGTGTAGCTTGAAATCCAGACCCGTTTTGTGCTGCTGTGTCATGTTTGGCATATGGCACAGAGTATTGGAATGTTAGCAGAAACAAACAGATCTCATGGGTGCCCTAGACCAACATCAAAAACAGATAGTATTGTATACTTTTCTATAACAGGGGTTGACATTAAGGGTTGGCCTATTGCCTGGGCAAGTGAACTGAGCAGTAGCATTTGCGTTGAGACAGCTCGCGGTTGCCCCAAAGGGTTTTTAAGTGAAAACACCCAAACTGGGGTTCCATGACCTGTATCCCATGATGATTTCCGATGGGAATCCAAATGGGACTTTTCCATACGGGCTTCATCTTAGCTAGCTCAGTGCATCCAATAGCCATCTCCTCTTGACATCGAACTGTATTGCAACATCAATTAATATGTTTTCCCCATTGAACTAAACACATTGTCTGTCTTATAATAATATAGCTAATTGCATACAAACAAATTGTCATCACAGCTATCCTTGCAAAACTGTTACAGGTGTAAGGAAGTTCATGGGATGACCGTCGTGTGGTGGATCTGTCAGACTGACAGTTGATCAGATAGTAGTTTAACGAACTTCTTCCACGTCATGGCTGCGAGCTAACGTTACAGCAGCAAACTACTGACATATGTAACTCAAAAATTGGCCTTTGGCAGGTTTACAACTAACATCATCAACAGGTGGCAAAACGCTTAGTTTGGTTGACACAGCTAATCTGGTCACGAGGAAATGTTCCCTGCTAGAACACAGCTGGAAAGCCTGCTAGTTAGCTAGCATTAGCCAAGTGTCATTGGCAACTTTTCCACAACTGCTACAACATCACAAACTAGAAAATAAGTCAACAACTCTTGCAGATGTTTTGCCTTCTTGCCTTGACGCGCAAAGCTTTTCCATAAAAATACAATACAATTGTGATGTGTACTGTAGTTAATCAGACAGCTAGCTATGGTTGCTAGTTAGACAGTTAGCACGCTGGCTTTCAACCTAGCGGAAATCACTCACCCAGCTCAAGATGCGGACTATGGTTTGAGGTTGTTTAATAAAGCTCATAAAATCGAAGGCACCTCCAGACAGCGAGGCCCCATAAGCACCAGATTCCATTTTATATGTTTTTTTATACCGATGAATATGTCCCAACTTCACCGAGAAAAGTACTATGCGCAGGTCTCACTTATGAAGTTGCAGTTCTTTGGTTTTGTTTTCACTGTCATTTCCTGAAAAGTTAAAGAACCGCCCCGACCATGACCACGTAATCTCTACGAAAACGTTTTCATTGGATTTATAATTGCTTCAAATAAATAGGCATACTGCTACTCTCACTGTGGCCTTTTGTTCGTAGTCTTCAATATTGCCACCTTATCACACATTTTCAAAAGGTTTGTACAACATAAATAGCTAATATTCTCTCTCTGTGTGTCTGTGTCCCCACAATCGCTTGTATCTTTAAAAAAAAACTTGTTATCACCTATTCGTTTTCACATACTTTAAAAAATAACCTGTAGGTTTATGTAGCCCACTGGTTGACATCATTGCGTTGTTCCTGTTTTACCTGCAAAAAAAATTGTGGAAGAGAGCAAGATAAACAATAATTCTGTCTATTGTGTATAAATATGTCATTAATCTTTATTGTCAAGGCTATTGTTCATCATTAAGACAGTGTTTGCAAAGATACACCCAGTGGTTTAAAGTACTTAAGTAAAAATACTTTAAAGTACTACTTAAGTAGTTTTTTGGGGTATCTGTACTTTACTTTTCTATTTATATTTTTGACAACTTTTACTTTTACTTCACTACATTCCTAAAGAAAATAATGTACTTTTTACTCCATACGTTTTCCCTGACACCCAAAAGTAGGATATGGCTTTTGATTGGGACACAGCCTGTGTATTGTGCTTTGGACATGAAAACATTGCATATTCACCACCAAATAGAAAACATTTATTTGTGTTGTTGTGAGGTCTGCATATCACAATATTTTAGATTCTCTAACTAATATCGTCTCAAAGAACTTCTATCATATCCCACTCCTGACAAACTCCATTCATAATGTAGGCCTACCACTAGATGACAGCAGAAGCACACATAAGGGATTCGTGCGTGTGAAAGACAGTTTATTATGGATTATAGAGTCACTTCATTTTATTATTTAGTGATGTGCCAATGCATTTCAATTGTCCACCACTGTAATGCAGGATTGCAATTAGAATGTTACATTGATGACAAACTGTTTAGAATGAATTTGACATTCATTAGCAAAAAATGTCGCACCATGAATACGCCACTAATGAGGATGTATTTCATTGGTTGCGTCTGCGCCAGAGAAAGCTGAAAGTTGCTGAGCTGAGAGCTCCAGGCACCGTAGGTGTGAACCAACAGGCGGCATCTCTTCGGATTCATTGGTGGTTTGCGGCTGAGCATGGAAGTCTTCAAAAACGGTGAGCGGTAGAGCCTACATCGATAATGCAAGTCTTATGCATAAAACAATTCAATTTGCAGTTACAATACATATGCAGTTTTGCTAAGTCGTAGGCTACTGCCTAGGTGTTATGGGTGGTCCTCTGTAGCTCAGCTGGTAGAGCACGGCGCTTGTAACGCCAGGGTAGTGGGTTCGATCACCGGGATCACCCATACACAAAAAAATGTATGCACGCATGACTGTAAATCGCTTTGGATAAAAGCGTCTGCTAAATGGCATATTATTATTAGTGTACTGACTGGTGTTGTTGGTTCAATCTTGTTTCAATTTGGAAACGTGGAAATGGAACTAACAAATTGAATCAATTTTCAGCTGTCAATCAGTGGAGGCTGGTGGGGGGAGCTATAGGAGGACGGGTTCTGGCTGGAATTGAATTTTTGCAATGGAGCCAAACATGTGGTTTCCATATGTTTGATACTGTTTCATTTATTCCATTCCAGCCATTACAATGAGCCTGTCCTCCTATAGCTCCTCCCACCAGCCTCCACTGCTGTTAATCACTTAGAAGGATTAATTAATTTAATTAATTTTGTTGGATAGCTTTATATCAAATCCAAAGATATTCGAGAAACTAGTTTCTTGTTGTTTTTCTTTAGTCAAATTAACTCAACTAGATCCAAGAGGGAGCTTAAATATGACATATAATGACCCGGTGTAGCTCAGTTGGTAGAGCATGGCGCTTGCAATGCCAGGGTTGTGGGTTTGATTCCCACGGGGGGCCAGTATGAAAAAAAAAATGTATGCACTCACTAACTGTAAATCGCTCTGGATAAGAGCGTCTGCTAAATGACTAAAATGTAAATGTATAAATGCCTCATGAGCTTAGCTCAACTGTAGTACCCCGTCAGAACCCAAAAGCTTGTTTTACTCTGTATGTAAACAAACACTGTATATCCTTAATGCATGCTTACAACAATAATTTAGATATCATGGATGGTCAGTCCTTGATTGTTTTTATTTTCTTTAACCTCCAAGTTCCTTTCAATTCCTGACTCTACAGGGATTTCTACATCCTGTGAGTGACTGTCTTGTTCAGTCCTGATCAAGATATTCCTGATAACATGTGAACATGACACATTGCCTGTGATAAGGGTCTTTGGGAGGAAGGAGTACACTAGTGGTCTGTGGGAGGAACCGCTTCCTCTTATCTTCCTTCCATTGTGAAACAACCCTACTTCCGTCAGTATTTTTTTCTATTTGTATTTTGTCTATTTTCGGTTTGGTAGATAATGAGTTGACAGAGTGTGAGTTGGTCAGAAGTAGGGTTGACCAACCCACTAAGAGCTCCTGATAATTCTCTATCCTAGGAACTGGAAGACATGACTGGGACGATGCACTAACTACAGTATATAACACAAAACAGTGCCTCTGTTCTGCCAATCCTCTATTCCTGGTGGGCTCCCCTATGCTTCTGTCTGTGATTGGAAAAATCTAAGACAGACAGGTGTGGCCACGCAGGCTGAAGACCAGGAGGATGGCATACAGTGTGGACTTCAATCTGAGCCCTATAATGGAGCATGAATTAGAGTAAGTTGCTGTTTACTCTCCTCTCTCTGTTAATGATGGGATTTTAAAGTAGAATTGAGCTGTGTTTTGTAGCTCATGTCTGTCCACCGTTGCATATTCTAAAGGAGATACTGCGTTATTGTGCGTGTGCTTTGTTCCTCGTCGTTAGTTGTAGTTTCACAAACACTCTCTCTGTCTGGTTGGACATAGTTGGTGTTCTCATAGAACAGCATTAGTTTGGAATTGGTCAAGGTCTAATCTCAGTTAACCCAGAACTAAAATCTTGCGTAATTTGGTCAGATGCTCAATTGTGGTACCTTCTTATGTTTATGTAGTCTGTCTATGAGAGATGAGTCAAGATCTAAACATCCCATTCAAAAGTTCCTTTATCGCTGTCCAACTATGGTTGTAAGGGAAGGGAACTCTGCCGCTCTCTAACCAAGGTTGAATTGAGGAGCAAACTGAAGTGAAGAGAACTTTTGGAGGACAGTGGAAGTTGATAAAAGGGCTTCTTTATTGCAGTGACATTTTTGGAATTTTTGATTCTCCCAGACTGTCTAGTTTTTATTTTGGTGAATGGTAGTTCTCAAAGATGATCTTATTTAAAAATATATAGTTTCATTATTTTTTCTACATACTTTATGTGCTTTTATTCGTTAAAGTGTATACTGGAAACATTTTACCGAAAACTATAAAAAAAAATAATAATACACTTTCTTGTTGTGCCGGCAACAATTTAGCAGTGGCGGCCCGCCACTACTAAATTAATATAGGGGAAACACTATTACTGTGTTTATGGTTATCAAGTAGCATATGTATATGCTCATTATTGTACATAGTGGTATTCTGCAGTGAGCCTGCATGTTACGGGTACTCTAGTTTTAATGGTCTTTGCACTTGTTTTTGTTATTGAAGCCTGCAGTGCTATTTGTCCTCTGGTCAGTTTCTCTCTTTTGGATATGTTCCAGTGACCACAGTTGCCTTGGGAACATTGGAAGCCTTTTGTTTGATTAATCATTGCCCTGAGAATTGGAAAACATAACACCGACGAACACTAGCTATTTTTTTTCTTCAATCGTTGCATAATTCATATTGAATGGGTTTTATATGTAGATAAAACCAAGAATAACACTGCTGTGTGTGTGTGCATTTGTTTACACATTTACAAGTATCTGTCCATTCATCCGTCCAGCCGTCTGTGGATGCATGCACGTGTACCACAGCCCTCGGTCTGGTATAACCCTCTTCTATCCCATTGCTCAACGTTCACCAGGAGTCTTAGGGGTGATGATACGGCCCAGGACTCCATGTGCCAGCTCATCAGGGTGACTGCAGCAGGTCTGGAGAGTGGTAATGGCAGTCCTGAAAACCTGGAAATGGAAGGCAGAGGTACTTCTATATGTGGTTGTATCCCAAATGGCACCCTATTCCCTATGGGCCCTGGTCAAAAGTAGTGCACTATGTAGGGAATCGGTTGCCTTTTTAGGACGCAACCAGTATCCTTTGTTACAAGTGGAATGTTGTCCAGTGAACTGATATGCTCAATGAGGTGAGGACTGATATCTTCTAACTCCCTCTGATGACCGCTACATCCATAACAGTATTAGCCTGGTCCTATACTGTGCTGTAGCCATCTTGTCTTTATCGTTTCCATGCCTACATGTATGACAAAGAAGATAATACACAGAGGAGTTGGCTAAAGCACAAACAGACTGGTCGTGTTCATTAGGCACCAAATGTAACACAACTGACTGAAACAAGGAGGGGCTACCTGGATTTGTTCAATAAGAAATGTTTGCAGTTTAAACATTTTAAAGCATTTTCCGTTGCTTGCCCTAATGAGCACGACCAAGGCCAGTGCAGTGCGTCTTACTGAATAGATTTTATCATCTAATTAATCATATTCAATCATATGTTCCCCACAGATCGGCTGGCCTACCAGATGAGTGATGTCAAAGAGCGGGCAGATGAGAACAGGCTGCAGAGCAGTGAGGAGTCCATGCAGACCAACCTTCTGGTCAGGAACCGCTGGTCTACCACCACCCTGAGGTTGCTGTCCTCCATGCCCAGTCGCAGTGTCGGTGAGACCATCCTTTCGGTCACAGGCCAGTTTAAGGGGAAACCTCAGGGTTGTGTTTATTAGACACAGAAGGGAAGAAAACTGCTTGAAACGGTGAGGTACTACCTGAATTTGTCCAATAAGAAATGCTTGTTTTTGTTTTCCGTTGCAAATGGTTTTGCTACGTTGTGCTCTAATGAACAAGACCCAGGCCAAAGGTTTTTGTGGGACTTGTAGAGAGACTATATGGGAAAGGAAAGGGAAAGGGGGATACATAGTCAGTTGTACAACTGAATGCATTCAACTGAAATGTGTCTTCCACATTTAACCCAACCCCTCTGAATCAGGGTGATATTTTAAGAGCGTACAAAAGTATTGCAGTTCCTCTTATATCTGCCTTGTTACCCGTGTGGCTCAGGTTTGTGTGTTCGATTCCCATGGGGGACCAGTATGAAAAAAGTATGAAAATGTATGCACTCACAACTGTAAGTTGCTCTGGATAAGAGTGCCTGCTAAATGTAACCACACCACACACATTTTAAATATGTACAATGGTTCTGAAAAATACATCTATTGGGGGTATAATCCAATGGTCTTGTTTTAATACTAGCAATGTTTTTAGGCTCGTCAAAATGGGGGGCCTAAGTAAGTACATTAATAAGTCATTAGATTAGTTATATTCTGCTGTTTGCTTTGGCTGAGGTTTCCTGTCTCTTGTCTTACTGCGCCACAAGTTTCAGATAACTACTGGAGGAGAATATGGCCTCCGCAAAAACCACTGACCTTACAAGTTGTTGACGTTTGAATAAGCTGCTGGGGTGTATTCATTAGAGCACACCGAAGCAAAACGTTGTACAACAGAATACTTATTGGACAAGTTCAGGTTAGTACCTCCCTGTTTCGGCCGTTTGCTTCCGTTTGGTTCCTAGTGAATATACTCCGGTAGTAAATGTAATCTTCCTCCTTTTAAACCTCAGGAAATGGTCTCTCCTCACACAGGGCAGCAGAGTCGTCTTGAAATCATCTCCCAGTGCAACATCCGTTCTACTCAGCTGCGCAGGTACCACCGCCAGACCCAAGACGTTTCCCTCTCCTCCAGACCTAGTATCCGTGGCTATGGGATCGAGGCAGACTCTGAGGATGTCTGTGAGGAAGGTGAGTGCCATCCCCAAACCCACTTCACCATCCACCCCTGAAGGCATCCTCACTACAGACACAGGACAATGTGTATGGCATTTGAAACCTTAGATCTTAGATCTTTTTACCAATGCTGTCTGAGTTGAGCCCCTCTTGTTCAACCATTGAATAGAGTGAACATTCTCTCTCTGTCTCTCCACTGGGAGTCAGTGTCTGTTTTGTGTGCTCTGCTGAGATGGGCAGTACCAACAAGAATGACTCCGGTGTTAAAGATATCAAGGTTTGGTTACAAAATGCTACACTGAACAAAAATATAAATGCAACAAATTCAAAGATTTTACTGAGTTACAGTTCATATAAAGAAGTCAGTCAATTGAAATATATTCATTAGGCCCTAATCTATGGATTTCACATGACTGGGAATCACAGTAGGTTGGTTGCACCTTTAATTGGGGAGGACGGGCTCGTGGTATCGGCGGAGAGGAATAAGTGGAATTGTATCAAACACATGGTTTCCATGTGTTTGATGCCATTTAATTTTCTCAGTTCCATCCACTATTATGAGCCGTCCTCCCCTCAGCAGCCTCCACTGCTGGTAATACAGATATGCATTTGTTGGTCACAGATACCTTTAAAAAAAGGTAGGGGTGTGGATCAGAAAACCAGTCAGTATCTGGTCTGACCACCATTTGCCTCATGCAAGGCGACACATCTCCTTCGCATAGAGTTGATCAGGCTGTTGATTGTGGAATGTTGTCCCACTCTTCAATGGCTGTGCGAAGTTGCTGGATATTGGCGGGAACTGGACCACTGTCGATCCAGAGCATTCCAAACATGCTCAATGGGTGACATGTCTAGTGAGTATGCAGGCCATGGAAGAACTGGGACATTTTCAGCTTCCAGGAATTGTGTACAGATCCTTGCGACATGGTGCTGTGCATTATCATGCTGAAACATGAGGTGATGGTGGTGGATGAATGGCATGACAATGGGCCTCAGAATCTCGTCACGGTATCTCTGTGCATTCAAATTTCCATCGATAAAATGCAATTGTGTTCGTTGTCCATAGCTTATGTCTGCCCATACCATAGCCCCACCGCCACCATGGGGCACTCTTTTCACAACGTTGACATCAGCAAACCGCTTGCCCACATATCTGCCATCTGCCTGGTACAGTTGAAACTGGGATACATCCGTGAAGAGCACACTTCTCCAGTATGCCAGTGGCCATCGAAGGTGAGCGTTTGCCCACTGAAGTCGGTTACGATGCCAAACTGCAGTCAGGTCAAGACCCTGGTGAGGACAACGAGCACGCAGATGAGCTTCCCTGAGACTGTTTCTGACAGTTTGTGCAGAAATTCTTCGGTTGTGCAAACCCACTGTTTCATCAGCTGTCTGCGTGGCTGGTCTCAGACGATCCCACAGATGAAGAAGTCGGATGTGGAGGTCCTGGGCTGGCGTGGTCTGTGGTTGAGGCCGGTTGGACGTACTGCCAAATTCTCTAAAACAACGTTGGAGGCGGCTTATGGTAGAGACATTTACATTAAATTATCTGGCAACAGCTCTGGTGGACAGTCCTGCAGTCAGCATGCCAATTGCATGCTCCCTCAACTTGACATCTGTGGCATTGTGTTGTGTGACAAAACTGCACATTTTAGTGCTATGAAAAAGTATTTGCCCCCTTTCTAATTTTCTCTACTTTTGCATATTTGTGATACTGAATGTTATCAGATCTTCAACCAAAACCTAATATTAGATAAAGGGAACATAAGTGAACAAATAAAACAACAATTACATATTTATTTCATAAACAAAGTTATGCAACACCCAATTCCCCTGTGTGAAAAAATAATTGCCCCCTTACACTCAATAACTGGTTGTGCCACCTTTAGCTGCAATGACTCCAACCAAATGCTTCCTGTAGTTGTTGATCAGTCTCCCACGTCGCTGTAGAGGAATTTTGGCCCACTCTTCCATGCAGAACTGCTTTAACTCAGTGACGGGTGGGTTTTCAAGCATGAACAGCTCGTTTCAAGTCCTGCCACAACATCTCTATTGGGATTAGGTCTGGACTTTGACTAGGCCATTCCAAAACTTCCAATTTGTTGCTTTTTTAGCAATTTTCATGTAGACTTGATTGTGTGTTTTGGATCATTGTCTTGCTGCATGACCCAGCTGTGCTTCAGCTTCAGCTCACAGACGGATGGTCTGACATTCTCCTGTAGAATTCTCTGATACAGAGCAGAATTCATGGTTCCTTCTATTAAGGCAAGTCGTCCAGGTCCTGAGGCAGCAAAGCATCCCCAAACCATCACACCACCACCACCATGCTTGACCTTTGGTATGATGTTCTTACTGTGGAATGCAGAGTTTGGTTTTCGCCAGGCATTACTGTAACCATGTCGTCCAAAAAGTTACACTTTTGAATCATCTGTCCATAGAACGTTCTTCCAAGAGTCTTGTTGATCATCCAGGTGCTTTTTGGCAAACTTGAGTCAACTTTTTGGACGAGATGGGTCCCATTATGCCTGGGGAAAACCAAAATCTGCATTCCACAGTAAGAACATCATACCAAAGGTCAAGCATGGTGGTGGTGGTGTGATGGTTTGGGGATGCTTTGCTGCCTCAGGACCTGGACGACTTGCCTTAATAGAAGGAACCATGAATTCTGCTCTGTATCAGAGAATTCTACAGGAGAATGTCAGACCATCTGTCTGTGAGCTGAAGCTGAAGCGCAAGACAATGATCCAAAACACACAATCAAGTCTACATGAAAATTGCTAAAAAGCAACAAATTGGAAGTTTTGGAATGGCCTAGTCAACGTCCAGACCTAATCCCAATTGAGATGTTGTGGCAGGACTTGAAACGAGCAGTTCATGTTTGAAAACCCACATGTCACTGAGTTAAAGCAGTTCTGCATGGAAGAGTGGGCCAAAATTCCTCCACAGCGACATGAGAGACTGATCAACAACTACAGGAAGCATTTGGTTGGAGTCATTGCAGCTAAAGGTGGCACAACCAGTTATTGAGTGTAAGGGGGCAATTACTTTTTCACACAGGGGAATTGGGTGTTGCATAACTTTGTTTATGAAATAAATATGTAATTGTTGTGTTATTTGTTCACTTATGTTCCCTTTATCTAATATTAGGTTTTGGTTGAAGATCTGATAACATTCAGTATCACAAATATGCAAAATTAGAGAAAATTAGAAAGGGGGCAAATACTTTTCATAGCACTGTATATTTTTGTTCAGTGTAATATTAGCAGTTGGTGGCAGTGGCAAGTTTAACAACCAAAGCGTTGATTGCCATCTCTTCTTGTCCAATGTCCATAGACTGCATTCAAGGTAATGAAGCAAATAAGTACATTTGTCATTTGGGCAAACTACGGTGTAACTTCAATTAAAAGCAGGGTCTCAAATAGCCATCTGTCCCTTTTTTTAATAGCAAGGCAAATACAAGCCTGTCTCTAAAAAGCGCCGGTTGTGTTCAGTGATTGAAGCAAATAAACACCCGGGCTATTAATTGAAGTTTTACGGTATCCTTTTAACTTTGAGTGTGGATTACAGAGACCAAGAGACAGGAGCTGGTCAACAATCTTCAGAGTCTGTCGGCCGGTGACCGTGTGCGTATGCTGCGTGCCATGCCCCTCAGTCTGGCAGAGAAGACTCAACTCAGGTGTGTGTGCCATATTCTCTTCATTGTTTGGAATTGACTATCTTCATTGTTCCAGGATACCATTTTCTTTACATGATGCCAATGTAAAATTTGACAATAAACAAATTACACAAAAGCTACTTAATCCCTTCTCTCTCTCTCATTGTTGAATCGTCAAAGACCCCTTTTACAGTCAACATCTCTCCTTAGGAAACTTGCATTCAGTGACAAAGTTGGACAGTCCCTCTTGAGCAGCCAGGTTCCCTGCAGTAGCCTCCTTAAGCGAGTGAGTATAACCAAGCTATCACTAGCATAAAACATGCTGTTGGCAATTTCATGGCTACCATTGATGTCAAATCTGAGGAAAGTGCTCCAAGCCTGACGTTAATCTCTGCACAGAGATTTTAGGCATGAAAGTAACTGTCTGTCTCCCTGTCCACAGGCTTTGTATCACGTCTTGTTCAGCGGTCTCTTCATCCTAAGTTCCCTGCAGTTGTGGAAGGTGGCTCTGAAGAGGCTGGGTGGCCGCTTCGGCACTGGTGTGCTCTCCTACTTCCTCTTCCTCAGGACTCTTCTGCTCTTCAACGTCTTCCTCTTCCTCATCAACGGCCTGTTCCTGGTCCTCCCCCAGGCCATCCACCCGCCCCTTCACACCCCCAGCTCCCACAGAGTCACAGGCCTGGAGCTGTTCACTGGCACGGTAAGATGAGGGTTATGATTGGTGGATTATGTTTATCCACAAGTTTTGCCTTTGTGATTCACTCTAAAGCTGAGTTTACACTCCACCGATTGTCCTAGCAAAATGTCACCGATGATTGTGTTAAGTTACAGTTTCTGTCATGCACCAAAGTCTCTGTGCTGTGCGCGGTGAAGTCACAATGTGGTTGTTGTGCCTCTACTGAGTACACCTAGTGGAATGTAAATCCAGCCTACGCCAATAAAACCACTGCTGCTGACATACCTAGCTAAGTCACAACACAATGCCCACCCATACAAATGTAAAGCACCTGCAAAAGCACTTCTATGTCAAAACACTACATCAGTGTTGTCAGTCTGTTTCTAAAACCACACCACCTCTCTTCCCTCTCAGGGTTATCTCTCGAACTCTCTAATGTTTTATGGCTACTACACCAACTCCACCATCAACATCAGTTGTAGACCTGATGAAGCCACCACCGGGACTGTCTGCGGCACCACCAGTGACCCTCAGATGATGGCCTACAACATTCCCTTAGCCTACTTGTTCACCATCGGCATATCATTCTTTATCACCGGCATCGTCCTCGTCTACAGGTTTAACGACCGCCTCAAACCTTTTGAAGTGCTGATATAGGATCAGTTTAGCGTTTTTAGGCTGCGTTCACACAGGCAGTCCAATTCTGATCTTTTGCCCAATTATTGGCAAAATATCTGATCTGATTGGTCAAAAGACCAATTACTGGCAAAATATCAGAATTGGGCTGCCTGTGTAAACACAGCCATTGATCATAATGTGAGTACTACCCTGATCTATTAATTTGGAATATCTTTGTTAGCCTGGTCCCAGATCTGTTTGTGCTCTATAACCAACTGCTATGGTCCGTGTTGGGTGTGACAATGCCCCAAGAGTTAGCAGTACAGATCTGTGACTAGGCTTTGTCTTTGTTGGTCTTTCATGGGAATAATTAAATGTTTTCATTGTGCTCGTCTCATCATAGCACGTCCAAGTCCTTTGGGAGGAGTTTCCGTGTGTTCAAGTCTCAGGGAAACTTGGCCATAAAGGTCTTCTGCTCCTGGGATTTCAAAGTCAGCAAGAAGACATCTGTCAGGCTGCAGTCGGAAAACATCAGCACCCAGCTCAAGGTACAGTACTTCAGACCAGGGTCATGTTCATTAGGACTCACAATGGAAAATGTTTTCTAACCGAAAACTAAAATGAGCATTTCTGATTGGACAAATCCAGGTAGTGCCTCCCTGTTTCAGCCCGTTTCTTCTGTTTTGTGCCTAATGAACACGACCCAGGGGTTTCCAACTCCAGTCCTGGAGAGCTAATGTTACTGGGTGTGCAGGTTTTTTCTCCAGCCCATCACTAATGCACCTTATTCAGCCAAATATGGTCCATGAAGACCGTGATTATTTATTTTAGGTGTGATGAACATGATTATTTGTTTCTTAAGTGTGATGAACCACGATTGTTTTGCTGATAATTTGAATCAGGTGTGTTAGTGATTGGCAGGAGCAAAAGCCTGCACACCCCATTAGCTCTCCCTGCTGTAGACTGTGACGAACGAAATAGAGGCCTGATCAAGCTCATGTTCTATGCACACAGTCAGTCAGATACTGAAAGGCCACTCACAGTCAGATACTGAAGGCCACTCACAGTCAGATACTGAAGGCCACTCAGTCAGATACTGAAGGCCACTCCAGTCAGATACTGAAGGCCACTCAGTCAGATACTGAAGGCCACTCAGTCAGATACTGAAGGCCACTCAGTCAGATACTGAAGGCCACTCAGTCAGATACTGAAGGCCACTCAGTCAGATACTGAAGGCCACTCAGTCAGATACTGAAGGCCACTCAGTCAGATACTGAAGGCCACTCAGTCAGATACTGAAAGGCCACTCAGTCAGATACTGAAAGGCCACTCAGTCAGATACTGAAAGGCCACTCAGTCAGATACTGAAGGCCACTCAGTCAGATACTGAAGGCCACTCACAGTCAGATACTGAAGGCCACTCACAGTCCGTCAATTTGCGACTGATAGATCTGCATATCTACAGTATCTAAAAGCCATAACTGTTCTAGCAGGAATGCACACAGGATGTAGGTCTAGGTGGGTGTGGTGTAGCATGCCTATAAGAAGCTACATTCTGCAGGCCCAGTATCAACGGAAAATAAACAAGAATATGCAATCATTTTAAGATATGGAAATGAGACTAGGTTAGCTACAAGGAACTACATTATGACGCAGATGAAAATACTGACTGAAAGTTATTTTTGAGTGTTGTAGTTTCGCTGACTCTACATTCACAAACACTGCTTGGCCAAGGATGAAAATTAGATGAGTTGTCGGTTATTGTGTACTGTCCCTGTTAAATAAATACAGACTGTTGTCTCTTTGTTCTTGCCAGGAGCTGTTCTCGGAGGTGAACTGCAGAGAGGAGGAGAAGGGCAGGCTGGCTGGGATGGCGGTGCACCTGCTAGCATGGAGCATGTGTCTGGGGAGCACGTTCTGCTGTGTCCTCGGCATCCACTGCTTTGCCAAGTACATGCACCTGGTTAGTGTGCGTGTGTGTGTGCGCATGCGTGTGTGCGTGTGTGTGTGGTGTTGGGGGGGGGGGGGGGAGACTCTTGTCACACCACAGAGCTCTATGCAAATCCAGCCGCAGCTAAACTGTTACACCCTTTTCACACTGCCGTGCCAAGCGGAGCTGTACAGCACTGGCCTGGTTAGGCATCCTCTATAGCTGCTGGTACGGTTCAGGTTTGCACAATAGGGGTGTTACTGCCAGAGTTCAAGCAGGGCTTGGGTAGTTTTTTGTGGCTGCTCTCTCTAAGGTAGATGAGCCTTCACCAAGGAGAGAGAGCTTACTCTGTCACTGTCCCCATGACCCACTGCTGCTGTCACACCAGCCCATTAGCTACCTTCCAATGTTCATACTAGCATACCACATAGAGTGCACTGCCCAATACTGTACACAACTTCCTTCTAAGTTGTAAATTAGTGGGTGGTATTGGCAATACTTAACTTCCTTCTTAGTAGTAAGTTATTGTGTGGATATTGGCAATCCATAACTTCCTTCTAAGTAGTACATTAGTGGGTGGATATTGGCAATACTTAACTTCCTTATTAGTAGTAAGTTATTGTGTGGATATTGGAAGAGAGACATCACCACTTTACTTTCAAGTATTGCCACAGTTGTTTTGGGGGTAGCTTTTCTCAGAGCTTATCTCTGAGAATCAGACAAAGTGTTTTGTTGTTGCAGAATTAGACTTTGTGGAGTCAACAGAGGAAATCACATTGTGAAATCAGAAAACAGCTTAAGACATGTTGTTGCCTGCAAAACAAGACAGGGAGATGTCTCGGGGGCCTACTCGAAGGGAATGAAACATTCTCAATGTTAGAGTAGGTCAGAGAAGCCTGGTTCCAGATCTGTGGTGTATAGCCCACTACTATGGTCGTTGTCATTCCAAATAGCGACGTAGAGCCTTGCTTGTTCTTACCATAATCTGTCTGTACTGCAGTGTTTCTATAGCCTGGTCACAGATCTGTTTGTTCTGTATAGCAAACTCCTATGGTTGTACGTTTGACAATGACCGTAGGAGTTGAGAAGACCTATCTGCGACCACTGCCCACCAAACTAATATTTTATAGCAACAATGTTCTGAACATAGTGTCCAAATGATAAAGCTTCCAACACCCCTGGTCTCTTCTGTAGGCCTTTGCAACAATCCTGATATTTTGTTACTCTCTCTCTCCTGTTGACAAGACAGTCCATTGTTTAATCTATCTTTCCTTCAGTATGACCAGAGGAGACTTGAGGATGCAAAGGGAGAGGTCAGTTTGGTGGATGAGGCTCGTCTGCTGGCCCTGCCTGGGGTTGTGTCCTGTGGGAACCTGCTCCTCCCTGGTCTCTTCAACCTCGTGTCTTGGATGGAGAACTACAACTCGCCCATTATACGTCTCTATGTTGCCATCTTCAGGTAAATACTGGAACAACAACTAGTCAGAGCTGTTAAATGTTTGTGCACATGTTAGTACATTAATTTTTGCCAAATTCTGGTAACTTTCCCAAAATTCCAATATTTTTCCCAGAAATCCTGGTTGGAGGATTCTGTATTTCCTGCTTATCCCCTCCTGATTCTGGGAATCTTCCAACTGGGATTTCTGGGAAACCAGCACATTTTGGGGAAAATGACAGAAATGTACAACCCTAGTTGTCCATCAAATTACTTAGGTGAATTATCTTACCAAAAGCTAACGTCACAATCCAATATGAATGGAAATATGGAAATTGCATGTTGCTTAGCCTATATTTACCATTCATTTAAATAATAATAAATAATAATAATATGCCATTTAGCAGACGCTTTAATCCAAAGCGATTTACAGTCATGTGTGCATACATTTTTACGTATGGGTGGTCCCGGGGATCGAACCCACTACCCTGGCGTTACAAGCGCTGTGCTCTACCAATTGAGCTACAGAGGACCACCATTTTGGATTGTGACATTTAATTTGGGATTGAAGCATACAGCTAGCTCTACACAACCTATTGTGTGGGATGTGGACTAATCTTGACATTAGACTACAGAAAAACATCTGACAAGGTTTGATTTTTGGAGTGTACTGTCCCTTTAATTCAACAGCATGACTGACAAGCAACACAAATACAAGTATAGTCAGAACACGTGCTAAGGAGGTTCAAATGTATGCATCTCTCCCCAGTGACATTTCCATGTAATCAAGTAGCACAGAGAACATTGTCAGCACTTACATTGACAGAAAGCCAGTCCAACAAGTGCCTGTATCAGTACATGGTGCACAGTTGAAACCAAGGGGAGGTCGTCTGAATGTCACTGGTCCAAGACAAAGGGATGGGGCCCTTCACAAAAGTATACTATACTAAAGATACCATAAAAATACCATAAAACCTCAGAGTAACATATATTTTAGATGCTCCTATCAAAGTGGTTAACAGAAGCCCAATAAGTGTGTGCAATAAAGCTCCTCAACCCACGGACAAAGTGGTACAGCAGGGTCATGTTCATTAGGCATCAAACTGAAGAAAATGAACTGAAACAGAGAGCGACTACCTGGGCTTGTCCAATTAGAAACGGTCATATTCGCTGTCCGTTGCTGAATGTTTTTAAAAAGCGTGCCTTAACGAACTCAACCCAACTCCACCCAACAAATGTTCATTCCTCTCTAACCAGTATCTGGAGCCATGTATCAAGCTTCTCAAAGTAGAGGTGCTGATCTAGGATCTGATCCACCCTGTAAATGTAATCTTATTATTTGTGCTCTAAAAACCTAAACCAGGGGTACTCAACTACTATTTGAGAAGGTCCAGTCACACATTTACTAGGTGGCAAAGATCCGGATGGATATTGTCATTTATCGCCGTAGTAACAAACCCCCATCTCACAACGCGAAAATGCAACCCCGAACTGTTCACCCCTCTCTTGTTGGCAGAGAGAACATTTTGCCGTTTTTAAAACTAATTTCCTGCAATTCTACATGTCTAATGTGTGTTCATTTGATACCTGAGTGACTCAACAAAATCAATGGGGGGGGGCCCTGGGCACGTAATCCAGCCATGATAACTACAAGATTTAGATAGGCTAACCAGCTATCTAGCTGACATGGGCTAGTAGTTTAACAATTTGACATTTCTGTCAGTTGTTAAATAGATGTAGGTCTGTCGGTGAATGACGAGGAAAAACTACCCATGCACTTACACATATCGAAATTGCACCTTGTGCATTCTATTATTATTGAGAGCTGATACAGACCCGCAGTCTGTATTGACCCCGTTCTGGGTCCGGATCATGGTCCTCCAGTTGAGTATGGCTGGGCTAAACTGATCTTAAATCAGCACTCTTACTCTGAGACACTTGATACATACATCCTGTTTTATACAGGAACTTACTGCTGAAGGTGAGCATTCTTGGAGTACTGTGCTACCATTGGCTGGGTAAAATTGCAGCTGAACCAGAGCGACGTGGTCTGCAGGTAAGACACATGGAACACCTGATACTTGTCACCAGGCTGTCTGTCACCTTCAAATTAAGGTCCGTCGTCGTAGTAGTAGTAGTAGTAGTAGTATTGAAATTTACGGGGGGGGGGCTGGTCCAACTCAAGGTGTCATAAAAACGTTACCTATTTTCACATGACCTTCCCCTTGTACTGTAAAATAAGTACACCCTCCCCATAATTAATTCAAAATAATGTTTATGACCACAAATAACAATGTGTTTATAAACATTGATATCGACTTTGCCACTTCAGCATGCTTTTGTGGCACAGATGATGCCATGCAGGGCTACGGGTCAGAAGGTTGAGGGTTCGCCGGCCACCACGGAGGAGCTTACTTGCCCTGCCTGTTTCATTACACTACGATTAGAGCCTGCTGCAGACATTGATCAGCTAGGGGGAAATCAGATTTTCAACATTTTGATGCCATATGTATAATTATATCAAATATATACAACACATTTTCCACCAACAGGTTTGTATGCCAATGCACCACACAACCAATAAACAAAGCATACCAACTTCAGGTGCTTCAATATCATGATTCGTGTTTTCAACACCACAACAAATAGACTATGACAATCTTGACCAACAGGAAGTGCATCCCTCCCTATCTTGTAGGCTTACCCAGTATAGAAGGCTTGGCTTGACAATCTCTGAATGTCTAACTTTTTGGTGTTTTGTAAAAGATGTCTCTTCTCAAATGGCCGCTGCACAGTTTGGATTGATTGATTTTATTTGTCAGTAAAAAAAAAAATAATATATATATATATATATATATATACACACACAGTACAAAGATTTTTAAGTGACCGGTATTGCACAATAAAGTCGGTGACTTATTTCCATTGTGGTCGATATTTTTTACATAAATCCATATACAATTACATAGATACAGGTACATTACAGAGATACAGACAAAAAAATGCTCGACCTCCAGATGAGTATGAGGGGGGAGTTTAAGTACAATTCTTACAAGCTTGTTTTGGCTGGTCTGTAGCTTATTCTTTAGATGTTTGGGGCTGCTGGTGAACCATGATGTGCAGGCATAATCAATGTGACAATGGTCTAGCGCACTTGCCAGAGTCTTCATGGTGTCTATAGCTAGGTTTCCATCCAATTGGCAACAGATTTTCATGTGAATATTCTAAAATCTGCATCAAAACAATATGCGCATTTTCCCATCAGAGTTGCGTATCCATCAAATTGACTTTTGCAGTTACATTCCAATGTACCAAATATTTTTTTTTCAAGTTAAATGGATTTCCATTGCATTTTCAACTCTAGGCCTACTGATGGCTTCGTCACAAAAATGTTGAGTAGGGTACTCTGGTATTGGCACATGCGCTGTAGCCAGCAGCTGGCAGATACAGTGCGGGTATAGCCTACTACATGATGAGATTTGTCAAACGTCAGCCAATCATCATGTCACCAGAATAAAACCCTTGATATTTATTGAAAGTAGCATCAAGCTCATCACTGTGCACGTTCACCCCCTGTGAAGTTCATCATAACTTATTTCATCTGTAGCCTAATAAACTGCATGCTTTCCCATGATGTCGTGACATTTTTTATCCAACATGTACTTTACTCGCATAGAGAGGTTGGATGGAAACCTGGTTTATGTCGAGCCATTTTGAGGATGCTGGAATTATGTTTTGGACAAATGTGCGCAGGCCTACAGGAGTTTTGAAGTAGCCTAATCAGATTCAAACATTGACTGGGTGTGTTTATTCCACATATAAAACCTAATACATGTTCAAAGTAAAATTATAAATATTTAGGCTATATTGAAGCGTTAGGTTCTACAGTGCATTTGGAAAGTATTCGGACCCCTTCCCTTTTTCCATTACGTTACAGCCTTATTCTAAGATGGATTAAAAATAATAATAATTCCCTCATCAATCTACACACAATACCCCATAATGACAAAGTGAAAACAGGTTTTTGCAAATCTATTAAATAAAAAACAGATGCCTTATTTACATAAGTATTCAGACCCTTTGCTATGAGACTCGAAATTGAGCTCAGGTGCATCCTGTTTCCATTGATCATCCTTGATGTTTCTACAACTTGATTGGAGTCCACCTGTGCTACATTCAATTGATTGGATATGATTTGGAAAGGCACACACCTGTCTATATAAGGTCCCACAGTTGACAGTGCATGTCAGAGCAAAAACCAAATCATGAGGTCGAAGGAATTGTCCGTAGAGCTCCAAGACTGGATTGTGTCGAGGCAAAGATCTGGGGAAGGGTACCAAAAAATGTATGCAACATTGAAGGTCCCCAAGAACACAGTGGAACCACCAAACTCTGACAAAGCTCCAGAGTTCCTCTGTGGAGATGGGGAGAACCTTCCAGAAGGACAACCATCTCTTCCAGCATTCCACCAATCAGGCCTTTATCGTAGAGTAGCCAGACGGAAGCCACTCCTCAGTAAAAGGCACATGACAGCCCACTTGGAGTTTGCCAAAAGGCACCTAAAGGACTCAGACCATGAGAAATAAGATTCTCTGGTCTGATGAAACTAAGATGAACTCTTTGGCCTGAATGCCTAGTGTCACGTCTGGCGGAAACCTGGCACCATCCCTACGGTTAAGCATGGTGGTGGCAGCATCATGCTGTGTTTTTTTTTTTCAGCGGCAGGGACTGGGAGACTAGTCAGGATTGAGGGAAAGATGAACGGAGCAAAGTACAAAGAGATCCTTGATGAAAACCTGCTCCAGAGCGCTCAGGACCTCAGACTGGGGCGAAGGTTCACCTTCCAACAGGACAACGACCCTAAGCACACAGCCAAGACAACGCAGGAGTGGCTTCGGGACAAGTCTTTGAATGTCCTTGAGTGGCCCAGCCAGAGCCCGTAATTGAACCCAATCGAACATCTCTGGAGACCTGAAAATAGCAATGCAGCAACGCTCTTTTGAGCTGTGTGTCTCATGTCTTAACTGTTCTTTCATGCGCAATGATGCACCTGGCCTTTCTGCTGCCTATCAGCTATTCCTATTTGTTCTTGTCGATTCATAATAGAAAATGTATGCAGCTTTCAATGCTTTTATGTGTGGTATGATTGCTAGTTAGCCTATTGCAGATCTGGACAAACGATCCAACTAATTTACTAGTATTGTCACTATGAATGGTGGATAGAAGGCAGGATAGTTAGCATGCAGAAAAGCGTAGTGCATAAGGGAAGTACCAAAACACCTTGATATAGGGGAGGCACATGCAACCAGATGAGGACATTTGGCTAGGTTTGAATAAATTATATTTTAAAACCTGCATAAGACCAAAATGTAAAACAGGGGGGAAAACTCTCTACCCTCCCCTGTGCCCAATAAATAATTTACAAAAAACTTCCCCAAAGCACTTCTTTTTGACAACCCTCCCTTATTTTGGACCCCCCCCCCCCCCCCCCCCCCCCCCACACACACACACACACACACCTTCCTAATGTAGGCCTTGCAAGTGAAGCAATTTTGTTGTCCCACAAAATGAGTTCCCATATCAGATGACAATTTGTCTTTTAATGAGTTCCCACCACAGTTGTTGTAATTAACTTTTGGCATTGGTATCTTGGTCTCTACAGTGCTGGGAGAGCTTTGTTGGTCAGGAGCTGTATCGATTCCTGCTCATGGATTTCATATTCACGGTTCTCTACACGGTCTTCGGAGAATTTATTTGGAAGTAAGTAGTGTTTTGTGGTAATAATTCCTGTAAGATGTACTGATACTCCCCTCTCTGTACCCCCATGTTGTGGAGATTTGTTTGTGTAGACCTATATTCTACTAATTTTATATTCACTGTGCTCTACTTGCTCTTTGGAGAATCTGTTTGGAATTATTTGAGTGACTGACCAGCTGAGCATGTTTTGGAGATGTTTATAATTCCTGGGAGATGTAACTGATATTCTATTTTCATTTTCACTGTGCTTGACATGCTCTGGGTAATTTCTGAGGAAGTCTGTAGTGAAGTTGCTGCTGAACGTGTGTCGTATATGATGAATGGTGGTCATTATTGCTGTCAACAAAAGGAGTCTGCTCATACTGAACATTGATCATAAGGTTTATTCAGATCACAAGCTTCAGCATGGGTGACAGACTCGCGAGGTCTGGAGAGCAGTGTCCTCCCATTCTAGGGGCTGCTCTGACGTCTTCCTCCCCTAACCCCCTTATTTATAAACAATGAAACTCCCTCCTCTGGCCAATCACCAGTCTCCCCTTTATATAGCCTTCCAAGAGTTGAATGGCTCCCTCTACTGTTCAATCCCCGTATCTTACACCCCACTTCCTGTCTGTCATATGTGACGTCACGCTAAAACCTTCCTTCTTGATACCAAAAATCAACCTTCTTTCAGTTCCATTTAAACAACATTTAACACCATCATATTGTCAATACACTACACGTGTTTTGGACATGTTTGTTTCATATTCACTGTGAGATGTACTGACACTACTATTTTAAAGTTGACTGTGCTCTACAGTCTTTTTGAATAATGGTTCAAGAGTCCATTACCTTCATTAGTCAGACAGCTAAACAGTAACCAATAGGGTTTTTGTAATATTTGTATATGATTCTATTTCTGTTATTGTCATATTTGCAGTCATTCTGTACAGTATGTTGAAGTTGTAACTGCCAAAGTGTATTTGAGAAATGAATAAGTATACATGTTTTATAGAAGTTGTGCGTGGCAGACCTGCTGAACATGTTGTTTAGAATTCCTGTCAAATATACTGATACTCCACTCTGCCCCCCCCCCCCCCCCCCCATAGGCTGTTTTCTCAAGGAGTGCTGAGGAGAAGGAGGAAGCCAGTGTTTGATATCGCCCGTAACGTACTCGAGCTCATCTATGGACAAACCCTCACCTGGTAAACTACCTGTTGGCATGCCATGAGTCGTCTCACCTCTTACCTCTGTGACATTAATTTTTTTGTCATGCTGCGTTAGATGCTGCCGGTGCCGTCAGCCCTGGGTCGTCTCTCTTTCTACTGATGATAATGTTATTGAGGTTTCTGTGATTTGTCTCCTTCTCTGTCATCTTTTCCCGCAGGCTAGGCATGCTCTTCACCCCTTTACTCCCAGCTGTGCAGATCATCAAGCTGTTGTTGTTGTTCCATATGAAAAAGGTAGGTAGGTTTTAGCTCATCTCAGAGCTCCACCAATGTGACCATTACACAGTGAAGATGGACCCCATCTCAGAGCTCCACTAGTGTGACCAATACCTGGTGAAGGTAGGCCCCAGCTCAGAGCTCCACTAGTGTGACCAGTACCTGGTGAAGGTAGGCCCCAGCTCAGAGCTCCACTAGTGTGACCAATACCTGGTGAAGGTAGGCCCCAGCTCAGAGCTCCACTAGTGTGACCAGTACCTGGTGAAGGTAGGCCCCAGCTCAGAGCTCCACTAGTGTGACCAATACCTGGTGAAGGTAGGCCCCAGCTCAGAGCTCCACTAGTGTGACCAATACCTGGTGAAGGTAGGCCCCAGCTCAGAGCTCCACTAGTGTGACCATTTCAGTGACAGTGGTACACTCATCAAATGAGGTCAAACAACCATGTCTAAACCCTGCACTTATCATAACCAGAGGCCCAAAAAGTGTTGAAAAACGATTAGGTAAGTAAAGGTCCGGTCCAGAAACGTATGGTCCAGAAACGTATGGTCCCCAACATGCTCTGTTTGCTTGCCTGCCTTCTCTTGCCTTGCTCACTTCCGTGCGAGCCGCTTCCTTCAATTGAAAATTAATAGATTTCGTCATTTTGTCGCCAGCTATCGCCCTCCATGGAAGCCTCAGCGGTGTTCGACTAATCAGTCTCTCTTCTCTTGTTGCTGTTCTCCTCCCTCAGAGCAGTCTACTGATGAACTGTCTTGTTGCTGTTCTCCTCCCTCAGAGCAGTCTACTGATGAACTGTCTTGTTGCTGTTCTCCTCCCTCAGAGCAGTCTACTGGTGAACTGTCTTGTTGCTGTTCTCCCTCCCTCAGAGAAGTCTACTGGTGAACTGCCAGGTATCCAGGAAGCCGTGGAGGGCCAGTCAGATGAGCACCCTCTTCATCTCTCTGCTGTGTTTCCCCTCCTTCCTCGGGGCCGCCGTGTCTGTGACCTACACCATATGGACGTGAGTCTGTCCAACACACACACACACACACACACACACACACACGAGCTGTGTCTGTGACACACACAAATATATCAATCTATACCAATGTAGGCACACACGTATGCATGCACACACCTTTTTCGCTTTTGAGTCTATATTGCTCAGAAACATATTTTATTTATGCTGAAGTGTGAGTACGTTACCATAGTTCTAATAGGGATATAATTTCTCAACTGACATTTTTCAAAAATGCAACATCCCTTCAAAAGTACAAGCATCTGGAATTGTGCTGGGAAGGGTTAGGGTTACAGAAAATATATTTGAGCCAGAACAGTACGCTTCAGGTTGGCACTGTAGTATGAAAAGGATGTTGCGGTCCAAATGTTGATTTTTCCACTCTTCCCTTCAACCACCCCCCCCCCCCCCCCCCCCCCCCCCCCCCCCCCCTTCCTATAGGATTAAACCGTCCTCTGGCTGTGGTCCTTTCAGGAACCTCCCCTTCATGTTCCACTCAGGCAAACAGTGGGCCCAGGAGCTGAAGAGTACTAACCCCAAGCTGGCCTGGCTCAACTGGGTACACAGCTGCTTGGTGGAGAACCCCCTCTTCCTGTTCCTGGTGGCAGGTGTCTTTCTGTGAGTCAGCATCCAACAAGGACATTCTTTGGACTGCTCTGGATATTTCTTGTTGTGTGTGCCGTTTGGCTGACACTTTTTTTTATGCAAAGCCACTAGCAGTACAGTGTATGTTTTAACTATGTTACATTCGCCTTCCGATGTGTTCATGTAAGAGATAACTGCTGTGTGGTTGGTTGTACCTGACAGTCTTTCCTCTCTTTTTTTCAGAATGGTCATTTACGTTCACACCCAAGTTTTAGACGGCCAAAGGAAAATAATCAATCTGCTACAGGAGCAAATGGAAAATGTGTGTGTATACGGATAGACATTCTTTTCTGTTTCATGAAATATTCTTACAAAGATCATTGTGGTCTGTGTGTTGACGGTTATTCATATATTCTTTCTCATCACCAGGAGGGTAAGGACAAGAAGTTCTTGATTACTAGACTGCAGGCCGTCCATGAGGAGAAGCATCTACTGTCCCCTTCCTCCAGGCCTCCGCCACAGGGCAGTGAGGTGAGTGACCCTGACTGCGTACGCAATGGAAAATGTTTAGCAACAGAACATTTTAAATGTTCAGCAACAGAAAATGAAGTCCAGTCAGGGTTTGTGTGCCTTTTTTTCTGTTTGGTGCCGAATGAACATGACCCTGGTGTATGACCTCCAAGAGCTGCTGCTATGACTAGTCTGTACCAAAACCATGATGTTGTCTTCTGACAGATCTGTCTTGTCCTACAAACACAGATTCAGTTTGATATGTTAGTCTAAATGGATTCAGGTCATTTGCTGAGTTTTCTGTTAAATATTAAATCGGTTTCCCTTATGTCATTTCAGGTTTAATATGTTTTAATGGAAGATTCAGTTATTCCAGAGTATTCATTGGATGCTGCAAGTTGAATTTTGGACTCTCATCACATCAAGGATATTTGAATGTTATCAACCAGTCAAAGTGAACTCAAAGTGGATTGATGTGTGTGGTGAAGGACATTGAGCCATCTCTTGTAGAATGTAAAGTAACTGAGACTGATATGTATTCAAGACCATCCGAGGTGGTTTTTATACTAGTATGGTATTTCCAACGTGGGCCATAAATAGCTGCCTGTCACCGCTTTCAAGCTTCAATGTATACTGAAAAAAAGATATAAACGCAATATGCAACAATTTCAACGATTTTACTGAGTTACAGTTCATATGAGGAAATCAGTCAACTGAAATAAATAAGTTAGGCCTAATCTATGAATTTCACATGACTGGGCAGGGGTACAGCCATGGGTAGGCCTGGGAGGGCATAGGTCCACCCACTTGGAAGCCAGGCCCACTCACTGGGGAGCCAGGCCCAGCCAATCGGAAATTCCTCCAGTCAGCATGCCAATTGTAAGCTCCCTCAAAACTTGAGACATCTGTGGCATTGTGTTGTGACAAAACTGCACATTTTAGTGTGGCCTTTTATTGTCCCCAGCACAAGGTGCACCTGTGTAATGATAATGCTGTTTTATCAGCTTCTTGATATGCCACACCTGTCAGGTGGATGATTTATCTTGGCAAAGGAGAAATGCTCACTAACTAGGATGTAAACAAATTTATACACAAAATTTGAGAGAAATATGTTTTTTGTGCGTATTGAAAATTTGAAACATGGGACCAACACTTTTGTTGCGTTTTATATTTTTGTTCAGTATACTATATTATGTTGGTTTTTATTGTTCTTCTTTGTACTCAGTTAATATTAAATTGTCACTGTCTATGCATTTCATTTAATACGTTTGTCTTACTGACACGTTACCTAGATTGTTACTTAATATTCATTCTTAGGAGGCTACATATCACAACGGGGAGGAGGGGGGAAACAATGCCCTTTTACTCAGGAATTTCTGTGTAATTCAATCCAGTATATGTGAGCTATGCTGCAGGGTGAGTAACATGGAACTTCTAGAAAACCAAGAGTAGGATTGCAACATTCCTGTGATGCAGGAAGAGAAACCTTGTATCCACCCCTTCAATTCTATCTTATAATGGGTTTTCCTAGGCAATGCTCTTAGGGCTACCAAACGAACAGGTGGAAGTACATCTCTATGGCCTCTGTTGGTATGTAACACAATCTCTATCATTATACTTTTAGTGAAAGATCGCATTTTGGGCCTTTTATTGCAGAGAAAGTCTAAGGAAATATTAGTTCATGTCTCTTGCTCTAACAGGTTATTTTCATGTTAAGTTAATTATGACAATGATACAATTTGTGTGTATTTTATAAAGCATAGAAAAAGTTACACTGATCGAATTTTTGTTGTTGTCTAAAGCAAATATCCAAAGACTACAGGTTTTCACAGGGTTAAATTAAATGAAATATTTATTTTATTCTGTTTCTCTCTAGTTATGAAGAACATGGAGCCTCAAAGGAGAGTGTACATAGCCCTCCCTAAAAAATGCATGACTGTTTTGGCCGAAAAGTGTAAACTGGTAAACAAACAGTCCTTTTTCTGACCATCCTCAAACATAATAACACTTACAGGTGTAGGATCTTAATTTGACCAGTTTGTCACAGCAGGAAAATAATCCAGCAGCAACAGGAAATGTGGATTATAATTCATGTACATTTTTGCAGGGGTTGATACATTTTTAGTTATGCCAAATCAAGTCTTTGATTTGCTGCAACAACAAGGTGATCAAATTAAGGTCAGACATCTGTAGTTCTTAGTAGCCTATGTCTGGTTGTAGTGTAACTATATTGTGTATGTCTGTAATAGGAATAGTTACTTTACTATGATTAATTAAAATATGAATGGCTTTATTTTTTATCTGTTGGACAGGATCACGGACTTTTCATTAAGGATCTCAGCACTTACATAAATGAAGGAGACCTACAAGCTTACTTCCAACAGTGGGGCAGCATTACAGCATGCACGGTAAACTGAAAAGTCATATAAATTATTGTAGTATTAGCCTCGGGTGGATAAGGCCTAAACCTTACCATTTTAAAGGGGCAATCTGCATTTTAAACAACAACAAAGCACACACCCCTCCACCTTTTTAGGAAACTGCTTAGGGACGGGGCAAAAATATTTGACCACTTTCAAATTCATAGATGGACTGAAAATCCATGAGATCAAAATGATGTTTTGAAACTAAACTGGGTTTGTTTACAATTTAAAACAAAGTATTTTCTTGGATTATTGGTTTTTATTGGTTATGATGATGGTCCATCCTTTGAAAACAGATCAAGAAGACTCCGCAGGACTCTGACTCAAAGAGTGCCAGTGCGTTGGGATTTGTCATGTTTTCCTCTGAGGAGGAGGCAGATAAGGCAGACTGGGCGGGTCATCACTATATAGGAGGCATGGATGTGGAGGTCAAGAGAGTTGTCAGTCTGAAGGTAAATCAATAGACAGAGCACTGGGCAAAAACTGGTTGAACGAATCAACAATTTTCACCCAACTTTTCACCTAAATCCAGTGACATTTTTTGTTGAAAACACGTTTTAATGAGTGTTGTGTTGACATGGTTGAGTGTATGTTCCTTTTATCCAGCACATGCAGCCAGTCTTATCAATATGTCACTTTAGGAAAGTCTGAGTCAAGTCACAGGTCTTTGTACATTAGTCAAGTCTTAAGTCTCAACAGGGCGAGTCTGAGTCAAATCTCAAGTCTCTCTCTTCAGAAACAGATGCATGTTATGATCCATGCAGGTTAACATTGCGTTGCCTTTAAGACTCTTCTAGGTCAAAGGTCAATTATTAATTGTTTTATTCAACCGTTGACTATTCTTAGAACATTGAGTCAAGTTTAAAGTCATATGCAAGAGTCCAACTGAAGTTACGAGTCATTGTTTTTGCGAGACTTTGGAAGACGTGGATGTCAATTAAGGCAGCCCTCCTCACCTCTCTGATTCAGAGGGGGTTGGGTTAAATGTGGAAGATTTCAGTTGAATGCATTCAGTTGTACAACTGACTAGGTATCCCCCTTTCCCTTCCCGTTACCATACTAAAATCTAATTTTCCATATAGATGGATGAACCAGAAGGTTCAGAAGGTTGAGGTCATCCCTGCCAGGTCTATCCCCAGATGGTCCATGGATATGGGATACATTCTTGATAATGCTCAATGGTTAGATGAAGTGGCTGGATGATACTGTACTAACCCTACTATTACCGGGGGCAAAAAATAGGAAAAAAGTTAAAACGAACCCTAAATTTTTTGGGCCCACCTTTAAATTTCAAACATGACTGGGCAGGGGTACAGCCATGGGAGGCTGGGGGGCCCTGGTTACCCCTTTTAAAGCCGGGGGCCCACTCCTGGAGCCCCCCACAAATTCCTCCCTCTACACCCCAATTGAAGCTCCCAAAATTGAGACACTGTGGCTTGTGTTTGTGACAAAATGCACATTTTAGTTGGCCTTTTTTTGTCCCCACAAAAGGGCACCTTTGAAAAATGATAATGTGTTTACAGCTTTTGTATGCCACACCGTCAGGGGGATATTTTTTTGGAAAAGGAGAAATGCCACTCTAGGAGTAAAAAAATTTTTCAAAAAATTTTTGAGGAATATTTTTTTTGTGGTATTGAAAATTTGAAACATGACCAAACCCTTTTGTTGTTTTTTATTTTTTTTTTCAGTTACTATATTATGTTTTTTTTTATTTTTTTTCTTTGTACTCATTATATTAAATTGCACTGTCTAGCTTTTCTTTTAATAGTTTGTCCTTCCCCAAATTTGAACCCGTTACCTGATTTTTACTTAAATTATTCTTAGGAGCTCTACAAACGGGGAGGGGGGGGAACAATCCCCTTTTTTTCTCAGGAATTTCGTGTTTTTAAATCCATATAGTGAGCTATGCTGCAGGGTGGAACATGGAACTTTAGAAAACCAAGAGAGGTTGAAACACCCCTTGATGCAGGAAGAGAACCTGTTCCCACCCCTTAAATTCTATCTAAAAGGGGTTTTCCTAGGCACCCAAAAGGCAAACCAAAAAAAGGTGGAATACATCTCTACCCTCTTTTGGTATGAACACAATCTCTATCATTAATTTTTTGTAAAGATCGCATTTGGGGCCTTTTATTGCAGAGAAGTCTAAGAAAATTATTAAAATGTCTCTTGCTCTAACGGTTTTTTTTCTTTTTAATTAAATTATACAATGATCATTTGTTGTTTTATAAGATAGAAAAAGTTACCCGATCGTTTTTTTTGTTTTTGTCTAAAGCAAATATCCAAAGACTACGGTTTTCACGGGGTTAAATTAAAAAAATTTTTTTATTCTTTTCCCTAGTTTGAAAAAAACAGGGAGCCTAAAAGGAGAGTGTAATCCCTCCCAAAAAAATCAGGACGTTTTGGCCAAAAGGTAAACGGGTAAAAAAAAACAGTCCTTTTTCTGACCATCCTCAAACAAATAACCTAAGGGTGTGGGATTTTAAATTTTGACCATTTGTCACAGCAGGAAAAAAATCCCCCAAAACAGGAAATGTGATTAAAATTTCATGACTTTTTTCAGGGGGTTGATACTTTTTTGTTAGGGCCAAAACAACTTTGATTTGCTCAACAACAAGTGTAAAATTAAGGTGACCTGTAGTTTTTAGACCTAGTCGGGTTGTAGGTAAAGTGTATGTCTGTAAGAAATTTTTTATTTATGATTAATTAAAAATTAATGGCTTTTTTTTTGTTGGACAGGCAGGGCTTTTCTTTAAAGGGTCTCGCACTTACATAATAAAGGAAACCCTACAACTTATTCCAACGGGGGGCGCATTAAAAACATCCCACGGAAAGAAAAGTCATTAAATTATTGAGATTAGCCTCGTGTGGATAGGCCTAAACCTTTATTTTTTTAAAGGGGAAATCGCATTTTAAAAAAAAAAAACAAAACACACAAAACCCAAAAAAAACCCCCCCCTTTTTTAGGAAACTGCTTAGGGAGGGGGCAAAAATTTGACCACTTTAAAAATTCATAATGGAAATTTTTTAAAAATCAGAAAAATCAAAAATGATTTTTTTTGAAACTAAACTGGGTTTTGTTTACAATTTAAAACAAAGATTTTCCCTTATTATTGGGTTTTTTTTAAATTGGTTTTATGTTTTGATTGGGTCCATTTTGAAACGATCAGAACCCTTTGGGACTTAAACTAAGAGTGCCAGTGGTTGGGATTTTCTGTTTTTTCTCTGAGGAGGGGGGGGCAGAAATAAGGAACTGGGGGGTCTACAATGGGGCTGGTGGGGTGGGGTTTTTCTTTTAAGGGTTTAAAATGCAGGAATGGGGTGGTTGAAAAATAACAATTTTTTCAAGCCAATTTTCCCCTAAATTTGTGAATTTTTTGTTGAAAAGTTTTAATGAGGGGGTTGTTTGACATGTTGGGGTTATGTTCCTTTTATCCACACATCGCCGTCTTATCAATATGCACTTTAGGAAAGTCTGAGTCAATCACGGGCTTTGCTTTTCAAGTCTTAACCAAAAAGGGCGAGTCTGATCAAACTAAGTCCCCTCTTCATAAACAGTGCATGTTATGATCCAAGGGTTTAAAATTGGTTGCCTTTTAAAATCTTCAGGCAAAGGTCATTATTTTAAATTTTTTTATTCAACCTTTACTATTCTTAGAACATTGAGCAAATTTAAAGTCAATCAAGAGTCCCAAAATAAGTTTTCGGTCTGTTTTTGCGAACTTTGGAAAAGTGGATGTCCAAAAGGCGCCCTCCCCCTCTCTGATTCAAGGGGGTTTTGGGTTAAAAGTGGGAAAATTTCAGTTGAGCATTCAGTTGTACAAGACTAGGTTCCCCCTTTCCCCTTTCCCGTTACCCACTAAAAAACTAATTTTTCCATAAGATGGATGAAACCAGAAGGTCAGAAGGTTGGGTCATCCCTGCCAGGTCTTCCCCAATGGCCATGGGGTTTGGGGAAATTTTTGAAAATCTCAATGGGTTAGATGAAAATGGGGTGGATGATATGTACCTCATTATAAAAATTCCAACTGGGCGGTCCGGATTATTTTAAAAAAAAAATGTGAAGTAAATTACCTAATTTTTTTTTAGGGTTTATTGTAAAACTTTCTTTTTATTTTAAATTTTTTTGACTGTAGCTTTATTTACTGATTGTAATAAATCCAAAGTTTTCATGTTTTTAAAAATTAAAGGCCTATGTTGCATCATATTTTTTATTTAATTTAAAACTTTATGTTTACATGACCCCAGGGTAAACTTTTTTTTTGATTTTTCATTTTTCCCTAACATTTTAAATAATATTTATTTTGTTGTAGTGAGGGGGTTTTTTTAATTTGGTAATTTTTTCTTTTTATAGAATAACCAAAAATTTTAAGAAAGGACATTCCCAAAAAAAATTGTGCTTGCTAGAATTTTTTAGATAGGGCAGCAGTTGTAGTAATGATTGATTGCATTTATAGGGCCCTATAAAAAAAGCGAGTGGGGAACCTGACGGAACACGGAAACCCAAAATAAAAAGAATTTACAATTTCAAAATTATTGAACTTTTAGTAGGGAACCCCCCCCCCCTAAATGTGCCTTTGAAAATTTACATTTGCCCAAGTTTATCATGACATAAGACATGAACAGAATGCATCGGGGATTCATTTTCTCCTTTCTGAGAGGTACGAGAATTCCTCTTCCCTTTTTTGGGGCGCACAACTGCCACTTTGTTAGCCTTTGGGGTGTGCTAAGAAAATTTCTGGAGATGGAAGGCTTTTCCCCTAAAACCTTTTTAAATTTAAAATTTTAAATACAAAGTACCTATGCTTACCCGGCAGAATTATGATTATTTGCATCAAACAGTGGGGATTTTTTTACAAACTCTAAAAATCAATTGCCCCACAAAAAAACAGCTAAAAACCTCTTGCTAGGCACACTGGAAAAAAAAAGGGGAAACACCCCAAAAACAAAATTCGCAAAAAAATCCAACCTCTTGATTTTTAGAACATCCCTTTTGTTTCTGTGTACTTTTTTTTTTTATCTGAAAAAAAAGGAAAAGAAACTTGAAAAACAAAAAGTGGAAAAATACTAAGGAACAGGGTAAAAGTAACAATTTTTTTTAGGGCCCTACTTTATCTATGCCTTTCCAAATGCCCAAAAAGATAAGGGGGAAACTCCCCCCAATGTGTACGCCCCCTTTACCTCAACCTTTTGCCAGAATGCTCACCACATCTCGCGGGGGAGATGGGATATTAGCCAATAAAAATGAGGGGATGATTAGGTGCCATGGGAAAAGGGTTAGAATTTACTTTAGCAGAGCTCTCATCCCGAACAATTTTTCAGGGCAAATGGGTTAAATGCCTTGCTCAAGGCAATCAAACAGAATCACCTAGTCGTCGGGGGGTTGAACCACCAACTTTCGTTTCTGGGCCCAAACCCCTTTAACCCCCTAAATCCCCCGCCAAATTTAGCCAGGGCAAAACCCGGGGGAACATCCACTCTACGATAAATGCCAGGGATTTTTGTGCAGTCAGGGCACCCCCTTTTTAAAATCTCTCCCAAAGACGGGACCCACCAGGGGGGTGCCTCATCCTTCCCCTGGGGTTGGGGTTTTGTCTTAAGATAGAGGGAGAGTCCCCCTACTGGTCCCCCAAAACCCTTTCAGGGGCATCCAGGGGCCGCCAGGGAAAGACCCTGCTTGGCTCCAGAGCAAACCAGCAGTGGGATGGGTGGTAGCAAGGTAGTAATAGGGTTTTTTTAGGTTGGGGTTTTGGACAAATTGGGTTTGGGGATGAAATATATTAAGCTTGCCCCCAAATGGATGTAGCAATCACAGATTGACCCCTTTAAAACAAAGTATTTTCTTGGATTATTGGCGTTTTTATTGGTTATGATGATGGTCCATCCTTTGAAAACAGATCAAGAAGACTCCGCAGGACTCTGACTCAAAGAGTGCCAGTGCGTTGGGATTTGTCATGTTTTCCTCTGAGGAGGAGGCAGATGAGGCAGACTGGGCGGCTCCTCACTATATAGGAGGCATGGATGTGGAGGTCAAGAGAGTTGTCAGTCTGAAGGTAAATCAATAGACGGAGCACTGGGCAAAAACTGGTTGAACGAATCAACAATTTTTCACCCAAATTTTCACCTAAATCCGGTGACATTTTTTGTTGATTTCACGTTGAAAACACATTTTAATGAGTGTTGTGTTGAGTGTTGTGTTGACATGGTTGAGTGTTGTGTTGACATGGTTGAGTGTTGTGTTGACATGGTTGAGTGTTGTGTTGACATGGTTGAGTGTTGTGTTGACATGGTTGAGTGTTGTGTTGACATGGTTGAGTGTTGTGTTGACATGGTTGAGTGTTGTGTTGACATGGCTGAGTGTTGTGTTGACATGGCTGAGTGTTGTGTTGACATGGCTGAGTGTTGTGTTGACATGGCTGAGTGTTGTGTTGACATGGCTGAGTGTTGTGTTGACATGGCTGAGTGTTGTGTTGACATGGTTGAGTGTTGTGTTGACATGGTTGAGTGTTGTGTTGACATGGTTGAATGTTGTGTTGACATGGTTGAGTGTTGTGTTGACATGGTTGAGTGTTGTGTTGACATGGTTGAGTGTTGTGTTGAGTGTTGTGTTGACATGGTTGAGTGTTGTGTTGAGTGTTGTGTTGACATGGTTGAGTGTTGTTGACATGGTTGAGTGTTGTTGACATGGTTGAGTGTTGTTGACATGGTTGAGTGTTGTTGACATGGTTGAGTGTTGTGTTGACATGGTTGAGTGTTGTGTTGACATGGTTGAGTGTTGTGTTGACATGGTTGAGTGTTGTGTTGTGTTGACATGGTTGAGTGTATGTTGCTTTTATCCAGCACATGCAGCCAGTCTTATCAATATGTCACTTTAGGAAAGTCTGAGTCAAGTCACAGGTCTTTGTGCATTAGTCAAGTCTTAAGTCTCAACAGGGCGAGTCTGAGTCAAATCTCAAGTCTCTCTCTTCATAAACAGATGCATGTTATGATCCATGCAGGTTAACATTGTGTTGCAGGTAAGACTCTTCTAGGTCAAAGGTCAATTATTAATTGTTTTATTCAACCATTGACTATTCTTAGAACATTGAGTCAAGTTTAAAGTCATATACAAGAGTCCAACTGAAGTTACGAGTCACTGTTTTTGCGCAACTTTGGAAGATGTGGATGTCGATTAAGGCAGCCCTCCGCACCTCTCTGATTCAGAGGGGGTTGGGTTAAATGTGGAAGACACATTTCAGTTGAATGCATTCAGTTGTACAACTGACTAGGTATCCCCCTTTCCCTTCCCGTTACCATACTAAAATCTAATTTTCCATATAGATGGATGACCCAGAAGGTTCAGAAGGTTGAGGTCATCCCTGCCAGGTCTATCCCCAGATGGTCCATGGGTATGAGATACATTCTTGAAAATGCTCAATGGTTAGATGAAGTGGCTGGATGATACTGTACCTACATTATAGAAAATATCCAAACTGGACAGGATACATGGATTATTTGTAGAAAAATAAATGTAGAACGTAAATTTACATAATTTTCTTCTAGGGTTTGATTGTAACACTTTAATTTATTTTCAGATGTGTTGTGGACTGTAGCTTGATTTACTGATTGTAATGAAATACCAATTGTTTTCAATGTTGTGAATATTATAAGGCCTATGTTGCATCATATATGTTTTTATTAATTAAAGCTTTCATGTTTCCTACATGATCCCCAGATATAACATTTTTTTTTATTGAGTTATCATTTTACCAATAACATTTGAGTAATATATTTAATTTATGTTGTAGTGAGGTTGTTTTTGTAATTTGAGTAAGTTTTACTTTTAGTAGAATAACCAAAGATATTACGAGAAAGGGACATTTCCTAAATAAAATGTGTGCTTGCTAGAAGTATTTATGATAGACAGCAGTTGTAGTAATGATTGATTGCATTTATAGGGCCCTATAAAATCCGCGATGTGGAGAACGCTGACGGAATCACGGAATCCAGACATTTAAAACGGAATTTAACAATATTCAAAAATATATTGAACTTATTAGTAGGGAACCAACTAAATGTAGCCTATTGAAAATGAATACATTTGCCCAAGTTTATCATGACATAAGACATGAACAGAATGCATCGGTGATTCGTATTTTCTACAACTTTCTGAAGAGGTTACGAGAATTCCTCTTCTGTATTTGTGGCGCGCACATCTGCCACTTTGTGTAGCCGTTAGGGATGATGCTAATGAAGGTCCTCTGCTAGATGGAAAGGCTTTCCCATAAACCTTTTCAATTAAATGTTAACTACAAAGTAGCCTATGCTTACCTGGCAGAATATCATGATTATTTGCATCAATACAGTGGGTATTTATTTAGCAAACTCTACCATCACATATGCACTACAAAAACACAGCTAAACAACCTCTTGCTAGGTGCACACTGGAACTAAAGGGTAAACACACCCCAAAATCAAAAATTCGCAAAAGAATCCAGACCTCAAAAGTGGTCTCTTGATGTGGTGTAACCATTGTTTTTGTATTTAGAACATCCAATTTAGTTGTCTTCTGTTGTGACTTTTTATTTTATTTTATTTTTTTATCTGAAAAAACGGAAACTGAAACCTTGAAAAACTAAACGTGGAAAAATACTTAATGGAATCAGGCTAAAAATGTAACAGATTTTTATAGGGCCCTACATTTATCTAGTGCCTTTCCAAATGCTCAAAGCACTAAGGCTGGGAAACTCCACCACCAATGTGTAGCGCCCCCTTCACACTACAACCATTTATGCCAGAATGCTCACCACATCTCAGCTGGAGAGATGAGGAGTGATTATGCCAATTAAAAATGAGGGAGATGATTAGGTGCACATGGGAAGAGGTTGAGAATTTACATCTTAGCAGATGCTCTCATCCAGAACAATTTACAGGAGCAAGTAGGGTTAAGTGCCTTGCTCAAGGGCACATCAACAGATATCACCTAGTCAGCTCGGGGATTTGAACCAGCAATCTTTCAGTTACTAGCCCAACACTCTTAACCGCTAAGCTACCTGCCGCCCAAATTTAGCCAGGACACCAGGGTTAACACTCCTACTCTTACGATAAATGCCATGGGATATTTAGTGACAGTCAGGACACCCGTTTAACATCTCATCCGAAAGACTTCACCCTACGCAGGGCGATGCCCTCATCACTTCCCCATGGGCTTTGGGATTTTGGTCTTAAGACTAGAGGGAAGAGTGCCCCCTACTGGTCCTCCAACACCACTTTCAGGAGCATCCAGGGACCGACCAGGAACGACCCTGCTTGGCTCCAGAGGCAAGCCAGCAGTGGGATGCAGGGTGGTATGCTAATGGTAGTAATAGGTTTTCATAGGCTATGGGTTCTGGACAAATTGGTTAGGTAGTGAAATATGAAGCTCTGCTCCACTGCTTTGGTTAAAAGGGCGTATTCCATGTTTTTAGCTTTCAGATGTTGCTAGTTGTTTTGTTTTTAATGAAGTGCTGAGCATTCCAAAACTACTAAGGACCAATGTATTTTGCCCCTGTGGACCTTATTCACTCTGTGACCATGATCATTAAAGATAATTCCAGGCTAGCGGGGTAGGAAGCAGAGTTGTGCCGTTAAAGTCGATAGGCCTCTTTCGAGTGAGGGGGTCAAACTGGGGTGAGGGGGGTTGGTGATTCTGGGTAAGGGCCGATACAAGCTTAACATGTAGTTCTTCACACCTGTGTGTACTTGAGCAGAGACTGATTTTTTTGGAGCAATGTGCACTCTCCGGTCCATGCCTTCCTAGACTTCCAAATATAAACATTCACAAGGGGGAAATAGCAGAGCTGTTCTTGTTCTCTTCCATTTGTGGTGAAAGCAAAGAAGAATCACGTTGAAAACATCAGAAAATGCCACTGTTAGCTTATTTGAAAGAAAACTAAATGCATATGCCACACTACGCCACCCCAGGTTTAAACAAGAGCATGGGGCGTTCTGCCTAACACACATACAGGTTGTTAAAGTTTGGGTTGAGTGGCAAAATAAAGAAGTCAATAAAACCTGAATCACTCAGACTTCTCTCATTTAATAGCTTGGTTAAAGTGAAGGAGAACACAATATGTAAACAGACAAAACAAACTGAAAACAGGTTCTGGTCAAGGGAAGCACTAATTACACATTTATTTAACATATCAATATAACATCAAACAGAACCCAACTGATTTGTTTGGGGCTGGTGTTATATACTTTTAAATAGCGTTTCTGGTTTGAACGGGAATCTCGGGAAGCCTGGGAAAGGCTTGCAATTTTCTCGGGATGGAAAATATGAATCCTTAGTCTGGTGGTCTGAACTGGTGCCTGAGGAAGTAAGCGGTTAGATAGATGGTGTATGATAAATGGTGGCTGTGATTGCTGTGATCTTTTTGGCCAGTGTAATTCTCTCCCTCTAATATAGCATGTTAATCTGACTGGTTTTCATTGGGAAAGCCATCTTGTTGGGGAATCTTATAACTTTACAGTAGAGCCATTGTACCCTCTACTGTAAAAGAGGTAAACTCAACCATTTACATTTACGTCATTTAGCAGACGCTCTTATCCAGAGCGACTTACAGTTAGTGAGTGCATACATTTTTCATACTGGCCCCCTGTGGGAATCAAACCCACAACCCTGGCGTTGCAAGCGCCATGCTCTACCAATTGAGCTACAGGAGGCCATCCAGCTCCTCTTCTCTCTCTCTCCTCTTCCCTCTCTTCCCTCACCCTGTGACTTTTCTGTGTTTCTGAAGGTGGATATGAAGATCTTTCACTACAAGGTTGACCTGTCAGAAGAGGTGTCGGGGGCAAACATCAAATTCAGTACTATGGACGACCTGGTGAAACACTACCAGAAGCCCTGTCACACCTACCTGGTCAAACCGCTGCTGTGACCCACTCACACAAGCACGCACGTACACACACACAAACATTGATATACACTCACCTCCATATCCCACTGGGCACACCACATAATTTCAACGTGGATAATTGGGTAATATTTGGTTGAGACGGTAATCAATGAGATTACCCACTCAAAAAGACAGCCAAAAGTTGATTGAATTTCCAATGTGTTATCACTATACTTTCAACGATCTAAAAGCACAACCAAATTCCAATGGAAAAACAATGTCTGATTTTTGGTTTAGTTGTCACCCAAATGTCTATCACTGTGCTTTCAACCATTTAAAACCACATCAAAGTTAAAATGGGAATACAATGATGTTTTGTTTATTTATACAACAGATTGTGTTATCACTGTGCTTCATCTAATAGCAGAACCAAATGACCTGGACTGCAGTTGAGCTTACATTAAAAGTGCAAGTGATCAATGCCATTTGAGATTCTGCACAGATTATTTTCACATTTGTGAAGATCTCCACAAACCTGCAACAACCTACTGTGTGCATGCTATCTTCAACATGCACGCTTTATATGATTACATAAGAAGAAATGCATAGTTACAGTAACTATGGATGTGTTACTCATTTAAGGTTTATTGTTACATTAGTTTGTAAGATAGCCTTAGCTTTAGGCTATGTACTGTATTACAAAAGTAATATTGAATTGTGTTTGGTTGACAATGCAACCAAATATCAACATTTAAAGTAGATGTATCTACTGCTTGGAAAGTTCCATCTGAGCCACTAGCTTAATATAATTCTTTAACTTTTATTTTTGGTTGAGTTGGAGATGTGAAGCCAACACGTCATTTGTTTACTTGTCAAAAAGTTAATAGGCTATTTATTGTATTTCAAAAGTGATATTGAATTGTGTTTGGTTGTCAATGCAACTAAATATCAACATTTGAAGGAGATGCATCTTCTGCTTGGATAGTTCCATCTGTTAAAACTGTAAATGCACTTTATATACAGTTTGATTTGATTTAGTCCTATTATTTAACTTAGATTTTTGAATGAGATGGAGATGTGAATCCAACATATCAATTATACATTTGTAGACAAACTGGAATAAATTGGGTTGTCATAGGGTATGGGTTAGTTAATGAGTTATTTTGGGGTGGTTTGTAGGTGTTGAGTTATTATAGTGGGTTAAACTGTATATTCAAACAATCAATTCCTCTTTCAATCGACCTACTTTTTCAGCTATAACCAGTCACTACCATTACTACTGCAGTCACTACCACTACTGTAACTTATTTCACAAGCATAAATAATTTAAAGACCAGCTAGTAAGCACACACATTTTATTTAAAAGTTATTTTCAACTTTTCTGTTTGGTACAATTTTTCCTCTGGAATAGAAGTGGTCACTCCTTTATGGGTTTTACGTAAAGAAACACGGACTCGATGCGGCCAATCACTGCTGAGAGCGCGTTGATAGACAAACTGAAAATGGCGGAAAGCAGCACGGAAATCACATCCAAAAAGGTAAGAGAAAGTTGCAAAAATACTATTAATTGTTCTATGATGTGAGTCACATTATTTCGGCGTAACTAAAGCAAGATCAAACCCTCATTTTGAAGTTAGACTGAGCGGACTGTATGGAGCAAATTCAACGGGGTAGCTAGCAACATACCAGCCTACTGGATAATTATGACAACACTGGCAGTCGTTTTTGGAAGCAATTCACTACGGTAACGTACTGTTGTCGAACATGGTGTTATTCAGAATGATGGATATTTTTTTTCTTTTTAGGAGACGGTAAGCAAACTCCTGTCAAGCTTCTTCAAGGAGGAGAAAACTAA